AATGCGTCGAAGAAGGGATAGTTCTTCAAAACCGAAACGTAGATAAGGGTAATCTTTGCGATCTTTGTCGAAGAGGTGTCAAGGTTAATGTGGGTTTTGAAAGTTGAGATGATCGAAGTTTCTTAATTCTTAGTCTCCGCTTGAATGATAAGCGAGGTGTTTGGCAAAGCTGGAGGTTTTGCTTTTGAGCGGTTGGTTGAGTTTTACCCCTGTTAAAATTGGCATGTTACATTGTCAAGTTTTCTGATGTTAGTTTATATCTTTAGTGTAAAGTAAGAAACATTTTGAGCGAAAGTAAAGCCCATTTAAGAGAATTTTGTAATTATCGCTAATTGCTTGTCATGCTGTGGTATAGACGTTATTTATTTCAAGGAAAAACGGGCTCCTTTTACCAAACTTACTTGAGCTACTTCGTATGATCGATTATACTGCCCTTATTACAATAAACGCAAGCTACTTCTTCTTGCAGGAAATGGGCTCTTTAAATACATCCAGCGAGGATACAAATTCATTCCTACCCCTAGAAACATCCATAAATGAATACTCTGCTGGAGACATCACTCCCTCGGGAATCTTTAGTTATGAGGATGTAGAAATAAACGTAAGACGATCAAATTCAACTAGGCATAGTTCAGAGAGTAATGAAGCGTCAGTAGAGAGGAGCAAATCATCTCCGTCTCGACCAAAACCGCCAGTTCCAAAGAGACCAGCTTCGATAAAGAGAAAGCCTCAAGACTCAGCGAACCCTCTATTAGAAAACGCACACATGGGGGATAATGTTACATCAACGTCAAGTGCGACGAAGCCACCCAAATCAGTGGACGATATATTAGAAAGTGCTCAAATTGATGACACGATTTCTCCATTGAGGCCAGTGTCGTTATCATTATTACGAGACACGATGGCGTCACTTCCGGTTGATGCACAAGAGTTTTTGTTTCCTGAGACGGACGTTAAGTCTCTTGAAGTGGGTACTGGAGCACAAAATAGCAGTAACGCAAATCCAAATTTAGGAAATAATAGAAATGAAGCTGAACTTCCACAAAGTGTCTCGACGTCGAATCATATAGGTGCTGTGGATTTATCTCTCTTGGAAATTAGAAGAGACAGTGGTCCTGATCACAATGTGCCAAAGAGTAACCAAGCGCTAGAAGTCAACCAAAATTTGGATACCAAGAGCGAAGAAATCAAGTGCGATAAACAAAGTGGTACTTCTAATTCCCAGCAAAGTTGGGTTAACTTTGATTAGTGTATATAATATGTTATGTATGAAAATTTCTCATAAAATTACTTTTATTCGGTCGTCAAATGCTGGCGAGTGACTTTTTGAATTTCAATCATCGACTTCATTCTCGTTGTTGTAAAATTCAAATAGGTATAAAGTAAAGAATGTAAATCAAGTAGCTGCCTATTTTACGCCCACGAAAAATTTGTATGGAAATATTTTGGGTCGATCCCGTTCTTGTTTATATTCTACGGTCATTTAAACTTGTTGGGAATCATCCACGTCTAATAACCGGAAAACAAACACAAGATTAAAGATATATCTTAACATTGCTGGTTGTAAGTACATCTTATTTTAAGATATGTATCTTGATCTTGGTAAGATCATTTTTCCTCTGTTTTATTTTGAAACGGAAATTTATTGGATTTGTATTGTTTGATTTTCATTTAGATGTGTTGCGAGGGGATTTATTCAATATTTTAATATTGTTTCCATTTATGTTTTCTAAAACCAACGAATTTGCCGTGCAATCTGGTGTTGCCTTTGTGGGTTTAGTGGTAGAAGAAAGTTTTAACAAGAGCTTCGGTTGAGTGAAATTCACAATGACAAAAAAATATTTTAAAGGTATAATATAACATGCTTTCCAGAAGGGTCTATTGTAAAATAAATTATATTCTTAATATTTTTAGCAGTCTCTAGCTTGTAGCTGATTATATGTTCACTTAACTGGGCGTGAGCGATACTCTTTTTCCACTTGCAACTTTGAAACAGTACGTAATCCAGCGGAATCAACTCGATAAGTATGTTTCGATCACGGTACAATGCCTCTTTTTCTTTCAATACGAAGTTTTGTTTCTTAAGTGAACTAATTAAGATTCAAGGTTGTCAACATTTGATAAATTCGAAACAAACACTGCTTTGTTGTGAAAGCACTTCCTAGGCACTATTTGTGCTTTTAAATTATAATCGGCCGGATAGCAGGCTGGTCATGTTTCCACGTCCTGTCATGGATTTTCCCCAAAATAAGATTGTGGAACTTAGATGGAAAGTACGAAACAGTTTTTAAATGCAGCAGATTGGTTGCTAGATTGAGATTTAACCAATTTTGCGCAGAAGAATTGGGAACCTAAGATGTTAGGCGGTCTTCTCAGTCAAACGAAACGAAAAATGTGTTTTTGCAAATTTTCACACGCTGAAAACTGAAAGATTTGAAATCATAGCATTTTATTCTAAGTACAATAATATGATTGTAATAAGAAATGGTAACTACCTCAGAAAATTAGAGCTCAGTAAAGTATGTCCCTCTGAGCAAATATTCGTATTTCTTTGCGTTTACGTTACTTTTATAAAAAGGTGTTAGCACCACTCTAAACACGAAGACAGTCACGGTTATAGCCAAAGCGTGCATGAACATTGAGTATATTTAGAAAATAACGTATCGGCCTGCAAAAAGCTAGGCTCTTTTTAAAACTTGAAATTTCTATTTAGTAATCTCGAGAAGGGGCGGTATTTCCTTCAGATGTCTACTGTCTTGCTGTCGTTTTTTGCCATGACTAAAATTAAAATCAATTGTTCCTCTTAGTAGATTTATTAACCCTTTAACTCCCAGATCAAATTTGTAATTCTCCTTACTGTCAACCATAACATTCTTATAATGTTAGTTCAGAGAATTTGGTATTGGATCAACTAATTATCCTCAAATTTATATTTTTCTTTATTCTCATCACTTATCTGGTTGATATTGTATTGATATCGTAAGGAGAAATTCTGTCTTGGTCACCCATTGGAGTTAAAGGGTTAAAGAAGATTGAAAGTGCGTTCGAGGTAAAAGAGTCGCTGGATTGGCGGTTTCTTAGTAGACGCGATAACAAACACGACGATTCTCAACAAAATAACCTGGATTTCAAAAAATAAATAATTTATTTACACACTTACATTACAAGACGAGTAAATACACAATTATGAAAAGAGTTACAGATTTCATGCCAATCCCGCACGCTTAACCCTTTAATCCCTGAGTGACTAGCATATAATTTCTCCCAACAGTATAACCCCTGCATCACACAGTAAGGTCAAGAGAATAAAGGAAATGATTACCAACTAAATATTCCTTTGATTGATTAACAAATTCTCCATGTCAGCACCTTATGAAATGTAAAGAAAACGATATGGAGATAATACCTCCAGATGTTAGGGTGTAAAGGGTGAAACGATCACATGACGGATGGCAGATAAAACGGCACGGTGGTCAGTGACCAAGTTTTGGAAAAGGAAAAAAAGCGGATAGGTCATTTGGGGGATGTGATAAACGTCTTTGAAAGGAATGTAACTTTGAAGTGATGGTGGTTTACGTACTATATAAAATTTAAAGCTAAGATCACGTAGGTAATGCTCACAGGAAAGAGACTGGTAAAGATGAATGAGATTAACATGGATTTTACATAAAAATATTGAAACTTGAAGCCGAATTTTTCAATGTATAATAATATCTGTTTACTGATTAATCCAACAACTAGTATTTCCTGGAAAGCCGAGCTTGTTCAAGGGAAGTGGGGAAAATTCCAGCAAGTATCTAGCAATTCAAACAACTGCCGAATATCGGAACTAAACCGAGATCTCTTTGGGTGTTTATGTACAAGGAGGAGAGCTATAATCCCACTTCATGGAAAGGCTCACTCTGAGCTCTCCAGATCAAGGTAAGATTTGATCCTGTTAAAATGTGACAGGCTTATCTATTTATAATTTGAACCACAACAATTTGGAAGAAGGTCGAAAAAAAAACTTGGATAAGAAAGTCTTAAATTAATAAGAATTGTAGAGGGCGTCATCTAGACGGTTCGGATCTCGCCAATTGGGTTTGGAGATAACCGCGACGGTTTCCAATGAAAACTTCACTACCTTTTCGATTTTAAGTTTATAGTTATTGATATACCAATTACTTAAAATGACTTTCTATAACTTCCGGTCTCCATCATGATCAAAATCTCAACGGGAGTCAAACACTCCCATTTGGTCATCATTTCTAGAAGGATAACTGTAATTCACGTTGAGTGTTTCCTATACATAGCTACGAAAATATATTTGCTCTTCTCATTTTCCGTCGATCAAAGCCTAATCCTCGTTGCTGAACCCCAAGGATCTTGTTGCTGACACTGACTAGTAGGATGTCGCGGTGATGTTACATTTTCATAGGGGTAAAACTCTTTTTCTAATGGATGCGTTAGAGCATATTTACAGTGGCTAATTTACATTATCAACTCAGTTGATAAAACCAAATCTGACCTAAAACTTCCCGGCAGCACGTAGGCTAAAGGATCAGGATTCCGCTCTATCATCCACCGAGGGAGTGGTGTTTATGTAGGGGCTTAAATCCAGAATTTTGAATTAATGCTTTAAAGACAAATCGCGTTTTACAAATGTTACGGAATTCCGTCTAAACCCTTACGTCCAACATTTTAATAGGATCACAATTAAGTGACAATTAAGTTTTGAAACTGTTTTCTCGGGATAGCTTGCAAGTTAAAGAAAAACAGCAACGACGTAGGTATCTAAAAGAAAGTTTCCATGCTGAGAAATAAGTTAATTAATTAGAGATAAATACCACATTCCTCTCGGTAATGTGATCAGTGTCCTTTAAGTAACGTAATTTTAATTGCGCTATCGGACCAAACTTTCCTATTTTGGTACTCCAGCAATTTCAAGGAAAATCAGTATTCTTGAAGCATAGGAGAAGAAACCCAGTGAGTTATAGATACGGTGTTAAATTTCAGGAACATCTATACCTCGATTAGTAATTTACGTAAGGGAAGCAGTGCCATGCTCGTCAAGTATTGCATTTCTGAATTTTCGAGATAACACCACACCACAGCTCGTTCTCTTTCAGACAAGGGTGGGTAGGCTTATGAGATAGGCGACGGTCGCCCTACAGAACTGAAGTATAGTTAAAAACCAATTATTTATTTAGACTGAGTGGACCCAGCCGGCTCTATCAGAGGAAGCAAAACGCGGCACATTTCATTTTTATTTTCATTAAATACCTTAATCATGATCGTACACTAAATGTTGTTCAGTTTCTCAAATCCGCCTTTGGTCGTTAATAAGTTTAAGTTTCCTGAGCCTATACTTATTAAGTAGCTTAGCTGTTGTTTTTACAGGCGTTGAACACCAAAGATTCTTCGATTAGCAAATCGATTGTAATAACGGAGAGAAAGACTCATCGTCCTCTGAAGAAATCAAGACTGAAAAGATCAACTCTTTAACATTGACATAATTTGCACCATGGTCGTAATGCAATTCCAATCAAAATATCTGTCATCTGGGATCTTTTTACTTGGTATCAAGTTTGCATGCGTTTTATACGGTACGAAGCCAATTCAAAATTCAAGGACCCAGGGAGAGAGAGGTGGGGATAGGGAAGGGCTGAATGATTCCTACACAGCCATTTTCTGCCAGGGGAAGGACTGTAGTTTTCTCGGTCCTCAAGTCTCTAATAGAGTACGTTTATATATTATTCAACCTCTTGAGTAAAGTATCTTTCTGGAATCGAGGCCAACGTTGGCGGTCTTCATGTGTGGTACTAACAATTTTTGAAATATCTGACTCGAAAAATATGTCAAAGTATGATTTAGAAGATCGGATCAGCTCGCCCACAGTCTATAACAATTTTTTTGTCCTAAACGTAGTAACAGGTTTTAAGATCTCTACAGCACACGTCAACCCGGTAAAATAAATTCCCTTTGGTACACTCCCCGCTCCGGACCCTCAACATGTCGGTATAGTGGTGGCTAATCACCTTCTTGTTACAGGCTCGGATGTCTAAATACGTGGTAATACCGATGTTTCTTTTAAATACACAGAACATACTCTGAGAGAAATGTTAATCTGCGCCACGAGTCTCTTTTGCAGAGATCTTTGGATCAAATCTGACCCCGAACGTGTGCGACCATAATCAGCTATCGAGCAGGCTTCTGGCGATGACCCGTATCTCTTCTCGGTTTTAGACACAATTCAAGGCAGACACAGAAAACTGAAGCATCACTCGTCAGTTTTTATTGGAATCAATTTGGGTTATTATTTTTTCCCACGATTTTGACCACCTGAGGTTGATCACCTTGCGTAATAGAGTTGCTTGAAACTATCTCGGTGAAAGACACGAACGGCGTGTTTGGTTACTCTAAAGGACCGAAAAATGCCTGTGTTGCTGACTTTGTAGTTATTTCAGGTCTATCATAAGGAGATATTTTGTTCAATTTGTTTTGTTCAATGATGGTGGGAATTGGACAAGTTAGCTCCTTTCGAAGATGAAGGCAGTTTTGAGTGTAAATTATTGCAATTTCCGTCCCAGAATTGTTTCTTGCAAAAAGACCTGCGGTGCTTGAAGGGAGAGTTCACGAAAGGACATTTGGCTTATCAAGTCGAGCAAATATTTGCAACTTAAGGCACGCAATAGAATTTGAACCTACAAATAACACTTACTGATACAAATATTACTTTATGCGACAAAAATAAATTATACATTTTAATTCTCAACCCCAATATGGTGTCAATTAGTGGTATCAACAAGACAGGCAAAATTCCCTAACAATTAAACAGACATTAATACACCCTCTGGACAAGTTTGTAAACATATTCATCTATTTGCAACTACGAATTTGACAGGTGAAAAAGATAAATAATTACCGAAGCATGGCTCTGCAAATGTTTTCTATCAAAACCTTTATCTTTATGGAGCGCATGTTGTAGATCTCAATTCATGATTAACAACAGAATGCGTCAAAGAAGCGTTAACTTAAACGACTTTTTGAGTGGTCCTTAGCAAAACCGCACACACCTAAAACAAAGTTGAAACTCGAGAGAGGACTTAGCCCTTTACGGCCTCTCATTACTCACACTACTCTCTGTAGAATGAAATAAGCGCCAATAATGATGCTTAAATCACACATCACGTATAGCTCTCGATAAATTGATTATAAGACTGAGAAGGTCTTAGGTGTTGCTGAAAAAGTCCAGGCGCCTGCCCTCGGCGTCATTCCTCGCCTGAGGGCGGATCGTATAACTGCAGCTGATAAAGCGATGAGATAGTTCATGCTAAGACATTTGAAAGTACACTCAGTGAGAGATTAAGACAGCTTTGTTTACTTCCCAGCTGGTGGGAGAATAGCTGTTAACAAGAAACGCTGCACGGCGGAGGAATAATGTTGGTAAGTACTAGAGTTTTGTTGCTTGACATCTGTTTTGTAAAGTGCAACCAAATGAAAACGTTTTTGGAGCTACGGAGTAAAAAGAAACGTTTCATTTTATGTCGCTGCGAACTCTCTATCGACTTAGTCCAAAGATGCTCTCGTAGCTTTTGTATTCTAACTCATGCTTGCGATTGTTAAAAACACTTCTTAATCCATTCACATCATGTGCACCCCTAAACCTGAGGCGGGTGACACCGACGAAGTTTCTCTCCAGAACTGCGCGTGAACATTGTATCCAACTTGTAAACCTGCTATCAAAACATTTTGATCGCAGTGATAGGCACTGTTTAAAATATTCCGCCATCTGATTTAAACTAAAGAGCTTTATGACTGTTTTGAAAACACTACAACCAATTCTCACAACTTGTTAGGATGTTTACCCGCAGAAGTATATAATCTATATGGTAAACAAGTCATCTAAACATGCCTGACCTCACCTACGAATATATGACTAATGGCTGATTTATATCTTTACTGCAAAGTAGCCTCGTGATTTATGAGATGTGCTTATTAAAAAAACAGCAGTGTTTGCTTCAAAGAGAATGAGACGAGCTATTTGAAAAGAAAGAAAAACAGTCTCTTATAGCGCAGTGTCTTAAGCATATATAGACGCGGCTCGTTTGTTTTCATTTTTCGCGCGCTGAAGAGAAATATTGATCAGAGAGTTAAGTGAGGTCGTCTTCAGAACAAGTCATATACATTGGATTTAAATAGACTAAAGATCAATTTTTGTTTTGAGAGTCGACACACTGTATTTTCATGGATAAACAACTACAGATTTTTAGACCTGACATAACATAATGAATGACATCTGACTGCCTGTTTGGATTAAATTACAAATAATTATTTAAAAGCGCTGTTATAGGGATCCATTTTAAATGCATTATTTCCGTTTGGTGGTTGTCTGTTTTAACGCACACGTTTATTTATGAATTCGGCTGTGCTAAGAGCGGATACAAGGATCCTACCGTGGATCCATAAATGATGATTGATGTGAACTATAATCAAGACTAAATATTCCTTTTTTTATGTTCTAAACTTACCACCTCTGTTTACGATGGAAAATTGCCCAGAAAAATCGGAAACATGTAATGCCTCGAGGAATTTCACTCGACATTACTTCAAATCCTTTGAATCTTTGCCTCTTATAACTGATTTGCGCACGCAAATATTACATGAATGACTTGATTTATAATTGAGACAATCGATTAACTTCAATCTTAGCCTAAACATACTCACGTAAAGTGATCAATCACTTGAAATTTTGACACGGATAAAACACTATTTCCTTAGCGGTGCAATGGATTTTGTGCTCGATTACATGGACGACTTTATGCCATTGTAGGATACATAATGTCGAGCACACCGAGATTTTCGAGGGGCATTTTGGTTCGTTGAGAATAATACGAGCAGAATATCTAGCCAGAGGGTATAACAAACTAAGAATGCTATCTAAGTGATGCAGTCTTTGTTTTTGGCCCAATTTTCTCCAAAAATATGAAGTGAAACTGCTAAAGGGTCGAGTCAAGGGATGTAAATAACATTTTGTCGAGCAGGAATGGTGCACTATTGCCCGATAGGGCTAGTTTCCTTCCATATGATCTCAGAAATTCTAGCACCCTGTTTACACGTGGGTTGAGTTTTTTTTTTTTCATCTTTTCACTTTGAGTTTTTTTTTTTTCGCAAAAACCAGATTCTCAAATATCAATTCTATTAATTAACATCTGCATTCAAAGTCATGAGGTATTACAACCATTTCTGTAGAACCTTTCCGTTTCATTTGGGGAAACAAAATTGCAATATGCATTTTTCATTTGCTTAGAGAGTAAATAGTTTCGCGTGGGCGTATTTATTAACGATTACAATTACCATTTCCGAAAACTGTGACAATTCATAGAGAATCACGCCACGTCTTACGACGAAAACAAACTACCAAATGGACCCCGTTTTATCAATAAACCACTATTGTATCTACAACTACACTTCCCACATACAACCACACAGACACGTGCGCCAGCTGTTGAAAAGCAAACCATTTTTAATTGTATTTTGATTGATTATTCCCAAGTTCATCTCCGCATAACAGATAAAACGACATAAGAAGGAAATCCTCAGGAACCTTCTTGGCAACTTCCTGTCTCATGCTGCAAGTTGAGTTTGTTGCATGTCATATTCCCCACAGTGATTTCCGACAATCTGTCTGAATCCACCATATCCACCCTTACCGAAAAACATCCACCGTGATAAATCATTTTTACGTCGTCCTGATCTGTTAGACTCGACATAAGAATAAAGCTCAATGATTTTGGTGACCTCTTTAGCTACTTCGGCCAGTAGTCGCACATTTCATAGATACATAGCTGAAAAAATTCCTAAGAGGATCAAAGAAGATCGAGATATTTCTTCCTGTAGGTCAAAAAGATAAACTCTATAACGAGATGAACATTCTTAGCCTACTCGAGGTCGATTCTAGCAGAGATGAAAAACCAGTTTCTCCTTATCTCATTCACGCGAATGTTAGGGATGCGTCCGTTTGATCTATCCATCGGTTGAACTTCATTTTCATGTCGAAATCAATCGTTTGACAGTACCGAAAAAAAAGAAGAAGGAGAGAGAATAAAAAAGTAAAAGCTGGAAAAATCCAAGATCGAAGAAAACCAAAACTTGTAATCATTTAGCTGGTCACATCTTAAAAACATACTGAGCAAAATTAACTTTCGACAAGTCTTTGAAAATGTTAGTTAAAAAGTCGGGAGAATGTTTATAATGCTAGTTCCCTTTATGAAAGCAAACTAAACCGTATAAGTCATATGTTCATGATGCTAGTTCCCTTTATGAAAGCAAATTAAACTGAACAAGTCATATGACTTTTTCCTCATGCAGTTTTCCTAGATAAACAACACGTAACTATAGACACTTATCTTTGGTTCGCCAAACGCTCAAAATAAACCTGTTACGCCTCCCCATATTTGATTTATTGGATTGCTTTATTGAGAATTCTTCTGCAACTTATCTTTCGCTGTTGATTGCCGGTACTCTTTCAAAAGATGAATAATGTAAATAATTAAGAATGAATCCCTTCTGAACCACTTAACCTTTTTTTTTTGTACGACTTACAGTTTGTATCTTCTACTCAGTTCGCATCTTTGATTTATTGTCTGTACCGTCATCTAATCTAATGACCTTTCCCTATTTTTAGTCATTTTATAAACTAAAGCTTGTTTTTTCTAATTCCTCAAGATTTTTTATAACTTAACGCCAGATGTTATCTCCTAAATAAAGTGCATGATAATGCTTGCGTGACGGTCGTGTACCACTTGATATTTTCTTCCAGAAATAAAAGAAAACTTGTCAGAAAAGCTACTCTGCCCTTTATTCTAATTCCATCAGATTCTAGATCAGCTCGTCTTAGTTGTTGGTAGCATATTACCCACAAGGGCAGTAAATAGATTTATCATACCAGTAAATTACTTAGCTGTCAATTGGACCAATCATGACTTAAGCGATGATTTAGTTTTTCTCACAGCTGTTGGTTTTTCTTAGACTTGTCGTGAACACAGCTGAAACTTTGAAGAATACTCAATATAAGAAGATGAAATATGAAAATGGGCTGCTAGCTTTTATCATTTTAGTTCTTGGTTTCAATCTTTTTGCAAGGACTCGTGCATGTCTAATTTGATGATTTTGATGGTTTATAGATTACAGCAGTACTCGTGGGAGTTGTTGTCAAATCACGCCTTTCTTAAATATGCAGGGAGTCAAAAATTTTTAATTGATGATAGGGCGGGTCAGGGTCAATATTCCTTGGAGAAAGGAAGAAAAAATCACGTTAAGAGAATAATCCATACAATTTATGCTTTAATTACGGTTACAAGATGTCTGAACGTTAAGAAGGCAAAGATTAATTAAAGCGCACGAACAAACAAACCGACGTGATATCTATTAAATTAGGTGTGTCATCTGTTTGCAGGCATTTTTTGTGTGGAGCCTCGCTGTGTCTTCTGTGAAAGGATTCGAAAAAGGTGAGACATTTATCGCTTGCTAATAACAATCCCAGATTTTATTGCGATTAAGTTAAGTTAGATGACTACCTTGTGGTTCACTAATTGTATTCTATTGCTACAGATGACCTCTTTGTCTAACAGTGTTTGTGTTAGGGTGGGTTAGCCTTGAAAGAAGTGATTAAATCATAAAGTGATGACTAAAGTAAATTGACGACAATATCTTGAAAACGGCGTTTTGTTGTAAGGACGACTACACTTATTCTTTTGTTGTGATTTTAAAAAGGCGGGGAATTTCCGCAAACTGACACTGAAGTAAAACTTCGGAGGTCCGTACTAAAGCAATAACAGAGTCAAAGCTATTACCCTTTGTGAGTAGATAGAGACTGCGACCACCTCTGATCAGACAGTTTTAATAAAATGTATCCTCTTTGTCTCAGCCGAGAGAGTGTTAGACAAAGAGACTGATTCCCAAATAATAGCCTTACTTCTCAAATCCATGCCAAGCTACTTTCATGTCGCTCCTAATTTCGTTAAGTTTGCTCTTGGAGCCTTGTGGCCTCTTTTCCATCAAAGTGTTCAAACATGTGAGGTATAACTGTATAACTGTTTTCTTCCACATGGACAGCTCGAGTCTTAAAATGACGCCGAAGAGAGGCTACATTCGGAAGCAGGTTGCATTGGGAATCCGCTTTTTTAGCTTAATCGTCCATGTCTACATGCACTCACTAGTTGATTTGTCATTCACTAACATGTCTATTTCTGATTAACACCCAGCAACTGACCCTAGCAACCGAACCTGTGAGTCCGTGGTAAGGGAACTTGTTCATTCCCGTCCCCTCCATGTGGCAATCCGACATTGTTGTAACTACTCTAGGCTTACTTATGACTGTGTCAATGGCTACAAGCAAGTGGAGGGAGACAGAGTGAGGCGCTGCTTTGAGGGCAAACTACAAGGGAGGGAGCCAAAATGCAGATTCCCAAAAGGTAGGGGATCTGTATTCCCAGGAAATGCAATAGATTTCCTGATGCTTAATCTCTAAGAATCGTGTCTTGGCATTTGCTTTCGGTCCTTACATACTCTCTTTATTAAGCGACTTAAATGACCTGTTGGCTTTGTACTTAAACTGCCATTCGGTTAAATCTCGACATATTCCCCTTTTATTTTTGAATCGAGGGCGATTTGTTTTTTTTTTGAAAAAATTTATCGGTCGACGCTGCATTCACATCGCAAAATTGGCTGAGATATCAATGACGTATACGAATGCTGACTTACTGCAAGCACCTTAAGTGTATTGTGTTTGGAGTATAATTAAAGTTTGCGGAATATTTAAATACTGGAATATTTAGTAACATACGTTATTTGTTTTATTGAGTTAGGGAGTTAAAATGGTTGACGTGTAACTCGGGTATTAATCAAAATACTTTGAATTGTTCAATTTTATAGTAACCAGCTGTGGTAACCCGGGAACGATTCGTCACGGTTACTTCATTGGATCTGATTTCAGTGTTGGTAAGACTGTGAAATACAGATGCAGCCGCGGTTACAAATTGCGTGGACCAGCGGTCAGTGTATGCAAGAACCATGGGATATGGAGTAAGCGACCTGAGTGTATCGGTAAGTTATAATTTTTCTTCCAAAAAGATAAGTTTCTCGTTGCGTAAATTCAGTACATTGAGAAAAAGACGGAATTTTCCACCATAAACCCCTATTAGAAAGTCAGTCTAAGAGATTTTCCGTACTGCTTGTTCAAGCATTAGTCTTTTGCAACCATAACATTGTAACTCTTTTTTGAACACACGGTGGCGCAGACTCGCGTTGTGACCGACTCGGTCAGTGGTCTTTGTTCTAAGCAAGAAACATTTCGGTTTTATTGCTATTTTCCTGGCAAGATTATTAAAGTTTATCAGCAAACTAAAAAGGGTGGTAGCAAAGTTTGTTGCTTCAGATGGCCTGGTTGCTTAGCCTTACTTTTTGCTTTTGATATTAGGAAAATCTCCCACTGATGTGGACCATAGACGCAACTCAAATAGGACATTTTTAAATCGGAACTAAAGTGATGCTGCTATTTTTCCTTAGACAAAAAAGTGATGGATGTGGACGAAGCCACCGCCTTTATTCGTCACAGTCTTTTAGACAATTACTTCAAGCATCTGTGCTCATCAAACGATTCATGTTCCGAGGTTCATTCCAATTCCAGAACACGTCGTTCGCTTGATCTCGATTACAATGGAGGTCTGGATGTGATTTTCTTAGTGGATGTATCTGATGGAGTCACCAAGGATGACTACAAGATTGGACTCAAATTTGCTCAAGAACTCATCAGAGTTCTAGCAGCAACTGTGATGTGAGTAATGAGTATCGCAAGTAGTATTGTATATAGACTGCATGTTGAGAAACAGGCTTGTGTTTTTTTTTCTTTTTTAATGATAAGTTCCGGCCTGAGATTAGCTAAAAATTTTTAAGACGGTGCTGAGAAGATACTTTAAGCTGTACTCACCATGCATGAATGATTTCTGCGTTTTCCCCACATCTAGAAAATCCAGAATATCTTTGTCACATTAGTGTTGTGAATCTCAGTGTATACTACACAAATTTAACAAGGGTTCTGTAGTCGGTGCGACATATCTTGTTATCAGCAGCCGAGCTTATAGCTCAAGCATAGGAGCACACGGCGCACTTTGACATAGTTCATCGTCCTGGTATGAATAACTACATGGAAAATTGTGGTCGAACAGGCTAATAGTGTAATTACACCAGTAAGTGAAACCTTTTCACGTCATCTGTGTCTTTACTTTTGCGTCATTTCTTGTTCACAGGCGCGGGGATATTCGTATTGCAGTTGTCTCGTACAACAGTAAACCATATACTTTCATGAATTTCGCATCTCCGTCCGACAGAGTGATAAAAAAGATTGGTGGTATCAAGAAATCAGGGGGTTGCGGTACTTCCCTCGGTAGGGCCATGTACATGACACGGCGAAGGCTGGTCCCTAATACTCGGACTAATAGCAATAAGGCCATGTTTATCATAAGCAATGGACTATTGAACATGGGAACAAGCCACCCAAAGGCGTCGCGTTTATTGGAGAGCGAGAAATCTTTTCAGATCTTTTCCATTGCTGTCGGCAAGAGTCCCAATACGCGGCTTTTGTCGTCTGTTGTCTCGCAGCCTGAGAAGAGCCATCTTATATTTCTGAGATATTACGGTGATGTTTTCGATGCTGTACGGCGAACCGTGACAAGGAACAAAAAGGGTGAGTTGCTATTGAAAAAGAGAGAGCACAATATTTCGCAAAAACTATTAATAGCAAATTGAGTATTTAAAATCAGAAAAAGCGTCAACACCTAAATATCAAACGTATGGAAAGAATCACGATCAGCCACATCAAATAATTATTCATGTAAATATTGATCCATTGTTAGATAGTTGACAAATCGTACCGAAAAATCTCAACTTGTTACTTTATTACTAAAAGCCGTGAGTTAGTAGGAAATCGAGCGCAGAAATGAAAACCACAGTTCAACTCAAATTGCGGGAGAAAACTCTGTTTTAAGCTAATCTGTACAGCTACGTTTCATGAAAAGGAATCAAAACTAAGCCGCACAACCTCATTCTTCTTCTCTAGATCCTAGCGAATGTGGTGTAAGTGTGACCAAACCAAGAGCTCGCAATGTGCGGGGCAATAGGGCGACAAGTGGTGTATGGCCTTGGCAAATTAGCCTCCACTGGAACGGTAAGCACGCAAAAAGGATCAAGTAAATTAAACGTATTCCTAGAGTGTGGTATATGCAATTCTTTTATATCTGGATGGCCTTGGTCACCATAGTATATAGGCCATTACACCATGGCTACAAGTAAAGTCACCCCTTTATCATAATGTCGTTGCTTTGTTTTCTTTTGTTTTCCTTTGAAATTTTTTTTCTTACGTTAGCGAACCTATTGGTATAATAAGGATATTTTTAAGGAAGAGTTTTTCAATTTTGACGTATTGAATAGGGTTTATTTGTCTTTGTGCCTCGGAGGCTGTCAATCATCGCAAGTTCTTTAAATCCAAAATACACTCTTTGAGAAGTGTTTTAGCATCAAATTTCGTGGACCCTTTGTTTTTCTGGCGGATTAGAGTCTCTTTGAGGGTAGCTTATTGATCGACCACATAACTTTTTTAATTTGTCAGGGGGTGCAAAGATCTGCAGTGGAGCTCTAATCAGCAAGGAGTGGGTCATCACTGCGGCACATTGCTTTTACTCTAAAACATGGAGAGCCGTCGTGCGCCCTGCTTCCAAGTAAGTGATCCAGTTACCCAAAATGTGTTTGGGACTAAAACTTGTGCTTCCTTTAGACTTAAGTAACATCTTCAGCCATTAATCCTCTTTAGTTACTTTATCATTGATGGTAAGGCCATTTCGCCATCAGTGTTTCGAACACAAATACGAATAGCGTTACTGCAACATAATTGTTGATGTATCTTGACAAAGTGGCGGAGAAAACTTGCTTTGCACCAAGTTCAGGAGCATGCGCGACATTCACGTAACGCGCTTCAAATGTAATATTCCTCGTTCTTTACGCCATGAAGCAGAACAAGCGTGCCCCAAATGTCCAGTAATCCCCGCTCTTTATGAGAATTGAGCGCAAGCCACTCAGGCTTAGTGTGCAGAGATTCACACAAGTGGGATACAATTTACGGATCGCATGTATCTCTTTACGGTCCGCATTCAAAATTGAGCTGACCTTAGCATTAGTTTTTTACATCAGTAGAATTATTATCAATTTAACTTAGACTATCTCATCCAATTCCATCAATCAACGTTTTCTGTAGATATACCATAAAAGCTGGAGGCCACCATCTTGGAGACAGAAGAATCAGTCCGGAACAGGTCATTGAAGCCGCTAAAATTCACATACACGACAACTACAAGAGGCAAAGCCATGAAAACGACATTGCGCTCATTAAACTAAACCGAAAAGTCAAGTTTGGAAAGTATGTGAGTCCCGTATGCTTGCCTGCAGAGCACAATGACTTGGCAGCTCCCGGAAAACACGGCTTTGTCGCTGGATGGGGTGAAAAACAAACTCAAGCGAAGCAAGATAAGAAATCCTCAAAACATCGGAAGAGGGGCCGGAGCAAAGTGACGGTGCATGTCGCCCTGGAGGTATCCCCTGGTAAAGCTTGTGGTAATAGCACCCGTCAGGCATTTAACAGGACAGTCATGTTTTGCGCCGAACACAATAAGGCGTGGCAACATTCTTGCCGAGGTGATGGTGGGGGACCATTTTTGCGCGAGAACTACGATTCAAAAACCAGAGGCTATCGATGGACCGTCGCCGGGCTGGTGAGCTGGGGCGAGGGATGCGGGGTAAAAGGTCGTTACAGTTTTTTTACCCGGGTGACTCCGTATTTCGGGTGGATATTGGAGACAACGAATCCACCGAAAAGAAGAGGCAGACACCCGCGAAAACGAAATAACTGATTTGAATGAACAAAGACAATTTAATTTTGTTTCTGATATGTTGTGGGTCGAAGATAGAAAAAGAATACCATAATTTAATGTGGCGACAACAAGTTAAGAGGAAGAGTAAACATGCCGATAAGTTTGGTGACATCAGAACATTCCCTTGTATAAACTTTACGAAGTACTACTTTGCCGTAGTATTCAATACTCAAGACGTAAGGAAGTCCGGATTATGAAACCAGAAGAATAAAATACGAAAGAAGGAATCGAAAGTGTGTCTTGTAATTTTAGGCGCGATCCTCCTCACTCATATTCACAGAAAGTCGCGCTTGTAGGCGTTCAGTTGAGATGTTTCAGCAATCATGTGTTAGGGAAATTTATAATTGGTTGTTGAAAGTAATCCAGTATTACACTGGTTTCGGTTAAATTCGGTCTGGAATTTCGTCTGAAAAGAACAAGCCATCCTCTCAACCAATTGCTTGCATTCAAGACTAAAGTCAATTAGTTTCCATTGAAATGTGCCTCCCCTCGATCGTTCTGCTTCATTCATTTTTGATCACTTTGGGTTTGGCTTTACATTATTCACATGAATACCCGAAATTCAACTGTTCCGTTTGAAGTAATCGCAAGTACGATCAATATACTTTCCCTAGAAATTTTCAAAAGTACTGTCACCTTTGAAACGTTTATAAAGGATTCAATCGTCCACTCGATCATTATATGCCGTTAATGATCATATATATATAATGATCATTATATGCCATTAATGATTAGAATGCCTCCTATTTATCGTGGTCGAAATTAATAACTAGATTAAAGTTAACCACTAGTTAAATTGTATACAGTGGAGGGAAAATTGAACATTAGTATTCCACTGCTTGACCTTAAGGGTTGTTTAGGGAGGTAATGATTTAGACAGTGAAGTTAATCAAAATTCTAGGGGATGATCTGCTTAAATTTTGAGATAAGGCAATTTTTTTAAGCTTCTTGCTGTGAAATAACTCATAAAATGGATACAGACTTTTTAAAGGAGAGAAAAATAGCTAGAAAGGAAGAACCACATGAGTGAAGAGTCGTGAATATAACATTGCCGCACTAAAGAATCAGGTTTTTTTTTTTATAGAAAATAGTAATAAACAATTGTCTCGTCTCTCATACTTTGCCTTCCCCATCCTCGATCGTCTTCTTGAATCAGAAATAGCAACCACCATGGAGATCAGTTGTTAGAAGTGTTTTTTTACCTCTATATTTTTTACAGAGAGCGATGTGTTTTTAATAATTTCAATGCATCACACCATGAGATGGACATGTTGATAGATAAAATTTTAGTGAATTGAATGTAGAAGTTCAGAAGTGATCCTTGCAGGTGGTCTGCAATCAAAGAATTGCTGAAAAGAAGTCTTTAAAAATTTTTGGCTCCGACGGAGTTCGAACGATGCCTCTCAGATACTGGCCGGTCAGGCGTTAATTTCAGCTGAGCTTTGAAGCCACATGTTGAGAGTAACGTTCTTCTTTCCCGTGAAGGAAAGAGATCACGATTAAATGAAACCGTATTCATTTCATTTAATTATTTATTACACCCATTTTGAAATCACTGGCGGTCCCCGTTATCTGATTGGCTCTAATTGGTGCGATTTATTCATGAATCGCACCATTTTTTGCTTTAAATCGCATCTTTTGCCAATGAGGAGGCTACACTAAAAACAAAACAACCGATCAGATTTCAAGGCTTGTTTGAAGTAACCAATCAAATTGCAGTAAAATGTGAGACAAAGAGTATCATGTGGCAAATTTTGCTACTTTTGTTTCCAAAACTGTTATTTTTCCTCCCAAAAAATGAATGAATTTAATTTCAAACCAGCTCAGTACTGCATCAATAAAATATTTGAACTGACCAAGTCCTGTGTTTGAGCGATTTCAAAATGGATGTGATAAAGTAGTAATTGAACCTCGTGTCGTGCAATTTTGATCTGAAATCATACTTGTGACTTCAAATCGAACTCGTTCTGCGTGCCCGTTCAATTTTGAAATCACGCATATCATTTCAGCCCAAATTGCACTCCACTCAGTTCAATTACCATTATAAATTAATTTAATCATAGGTAGCATTTCCCTACAGCCCCATACTACTGTAGAACATAGCCATTGTCCCAAAGGTAATCTATTGTTTTCGTGGAAATCTTACCGGACGGAATATCGAGAACTGATACCTAACTTAACACATTACACAGATATGATGCGTCACGAAAAGCGTTTTGAATCTAAGATGAAACATTTAAATTTCCCTTCTAAAAAACGGGGTAGAAAAATTAATAACTAATGTGTTCTTGTATGTTGTGTATCATCTCAGTTGTTGTCTTGTTTTTAATTTAAAATGGAGAAGAAATCAATAAAATCACCATTCAGAATTTGCTTCATTGCAGGTTGGACGAGTTCGGCTTAAATTTTGGCTTCTTACTGCCCTAACATGCAGCCATGGAAAAAATGAGTCCAAGTATTTCTCGTTTTGTGGAGTGACAATTTTAAATTTTCGCTCAACTTTGAAATAGTGTCTGTGTTCATATGAACAGAAATATAAAGCTACTCGAGATAGCAATTTTAGAAGCAAAGTAAGTCCACTTACTTGGGTTAAATCTCGTTGACGACTCAACTGGTCTTGGTCTTCACCTCGTTCGGCACGCACAAGGTAAACAAATGAATTCATGCATTTAATTTTATCAGAATGTACAGCCATGGAATTGAGAAAAATTCGAGAAAATGTCAAAAATCTTTTGTCCCTCAAACAAACGGTGAAAATTATATGGTGCATGTAATTGGTACCATACTCATGCATTACTTGAGGCTCATAAGTTGTCAATGCCGGAATCTAAAAACTATCCCAAACAAAATGAAAGCACCCTACTCGTGGTTGTGTGCTTCTCTCGGATTTTCAGAGTTTCGAATTACACATTTCAAGTTGGTACAAATGTTTTTTTTGTAAAAGGAATGGCAAAGGTTGACTACTCAAAGAGGCATTCTCATGCCCGAGAACTACCTGATCCTGATTAAACAACTTACTAAGCTCTATAGGAACTCTGGTCAGCCTTAACTCTGAAACAAATATGAAAATAATTTTTTCTCGGCTCATCTCAAAAATCTTGTTAACTGATTAAATCAAATGCTTAGAGGGTAACTTTCATAAACGATTTGTTTTTTTCAGTTTTTATCTTAATATTTCTATAGAGTGTCTCTTAACTCTTCCATCTTAGATCTAAGGAAGCTAAACATTTATGGTTTTTCGTGTTCGAATATCGTGTATTTTGTCTTCAAAAGCCTCAAACGAACTTTGTAGACGATCTGTAATCCTCCTCCGTTTGTTGAGAAAGTTTTCTCCATCCTGGATAAATCTTATGTCGTCTTCTAATGAACGTTTTACACCACGAACTCTAATCTCCGCTGTTTCTTTTAAGTCACTTATTCCTGCAATTGCCACTTGTTCGCATTTTTCCTATGGCGGGAAAAAGCATGCAAGGACTGTTGAGTTTTTTCTGATAAATCATAATTGTACGTAAGACCTTCGTTAATAGTAAATAAATCCCTTCAGGCGGCTGATACGTATGTTGGCTGATAACGTCTGCTGCGAGAAATGAAAATTGGCTTGAGTTGCAAAGCTTCCAGGGCACATGTGAAATTTTGAGGACAATTTCTCGGCCAAGTAAATTGTCAGCCGACATACCAGCAAACCAGAAGGGGTTTATTTATTTTATAACCCTCCCACTAATTTTCGTATGGTGCGTTGACAGCAAATTTTGTCGACATTTTTTGCACTTTCCGGAGCAGCACTTGAGATTACCTTTTTTCTGTCAAAATCAGTGGACTCTAAAAAGGCGAGTTCCTTTTTGTTCCATTTAAAGAAAAAATGATGAAAAATTGAGCTGGCTTTTTTGCGCCGGCTTTATTTCTTTTCGACGGAAACAATCAGGGGTTATTGCGTGGTAACTGTGCCGTGATTTTACGCCACGTGACGTAAAGAACCCACTAGAATAGCGAAAATTAACGAGTGGGTTATAATGCTTATATTCCCCCCTTTCAGAACCTAAATAGTCGGAGTAAGTTTGTGACTGGCCAACTTGAAAATCTTTCGAATTCGCTTTCTTCCTCGTAATTGTATGTACTTGCACGTTGTCACTTGAAACTTTATCAAAACTGTTCATCGCAATACGCTATTTAGACAAGAAAGGCGGCTTTGTAACTTTTAAATTTTAGTGAATTATACACACCTCGTGTAATGTCTTCACTTTGGTTTCGAAGAACTTCTGGACCGCAGTGACCTCAGCTTGACATGCGGGCCAAAAGTATTTCATCCATCCATTCAAATCAGTCCATGGTACTAAACTGTTTACCGCAGGTACACCAATTGCTGAGATTAGAGCTGAAGAAATAAAAAACAATTTGCGAGATGAAAAAGATAAAATCATTTTATGTGGACATCCAAAAAGTTCGAGGCGAGGTTGACAACGAGAGTCGACGTAGGAATTCAGATCATCTGAAAGTTGATCTTTCTGCACTAATGATTGAAACCCACCTCTTACTGGCGGGATTTTTGCTACCAAAAACTCAAAACCTTACGCAGCTAAAGCAGAGAAAATCTAACAAAAAGTTGAATGAACAAACAAATCAGTAAATGAAAGAAAGAAAGAATGAATAATTGAATGAATGGATAAAAGATATATTTAGGCAATTGGAGGCACTAGACAAATTTCAATTTCTAGTCCTGCCTATGGTTGGTCCAACATGATCATGTCCGAATGGAAGTTTATAAGACACCTAGAGGAACTTCTTACCTCCGCTTTGACCATATATCAAAGCTCCTAATAAACCACAGCACACCATTTTGGAAGGTAAACTTGGATTTGTTAGGCAGCCGTGTAGGTCATTTCCTTGATATTCGAAACTCTCGTCGAGCTGAAAATCCTCGCTTTTCCACGTGGGCTCCGTTACTTGGAAAGTGAGTCTACCAGGTCCATCTGCCACTTTCGACAGGCAATTCCAGATACAGTCCAACTGTTCCTTGAAATCTTTGTCCTTTTTCACCAGAACCTGGAGTCTATGGTTCAAACCATCCCGGCACCGATCTAAGGCGTTTTCTGGAGAGACACCGTTCTTCATGTCATGTTCTATTTGCATCTTGAACTCAGCAATCTGTCGGTCTCGCTGAAGGCGCTTCACTACATCTACAAGGATACTTGATACTTGAGACAGGTGCGACTTTATGCTATTCTCGGCATCGGTAAGCTTGTTCATCCGGTTTGAGAGCCGCTGAATTCTCTTTTGCTTTCGGCTTTCCATTATTCTGCCCAGATTTCCTGACAATCCCTTTGCTTGTGCAACGAAAGCCTGCATATCGTACTTGAGTGTGTCGAATTTTAAAGCACCTTTAGCTGCTTCGACCAAGTTGCGTTCGAATTCCTTAAATCCTCGGGAACCTTCTGTTTCTGTTTCATCTGAAGTAGTGGATGAGGCTTCATTCTGCTTCAAAAAAAAAAAATGAACAAAGTTGGTCTGGGAAGGCTAAATAGTTAATTAGCAGGGCAAATACCAAAGCGAGGGAGGGGGGGTATCCAGAAATTTTGATAAGGGAAAGTTTGCACCAGTGTTTAAATAAGCTTAGAAATATTTCTCGTCCATTAAATTATAATAATTCAAGTTGATTGGTATTATAGGAGCCTTTCGTTGGAAGAATTTCGGTTTTGGACTCAAAGTTTGATAAAAAAATAACCATGGAGCTTATCCTGGTTTCCTAGAGATGAAGGGACCTGGAGTATTTTTTTCTCCTCTTGGCAGAAATGCTCATTCCCAGGCAACTCACAAAGATTTCGCTAACATTTTTATCTAGCCTCTTACCATTGATGTCCTTCTTTCACAAAGAGAGAGAAATTGTTATTATTCTGGTAAGAATGAGAAATTAAGGGTTCAGCTCTAATTCTAAATATTGGAAATACTGTCCTTGAATTAAGAGTCAATTCAAGTCTCACCAGAGTTACCTGTTGTAAAGGGCACCTCACTGCTTCCCTTTGAGTCTGCGAGTCAATGAAGAAAACCTTTCCTCTGTCAGACACAGCGGTCATGAATTCTGCCACGCAGCGATCTTTAATGTCGCCTGTCGGGATTTCTGTATAGTCGTCAGAAGAATGGTTCTCTTGAAACATGTCCCACTTGGTGAAAACCCCCAAAGTGTATCTGCAGTTAACAGCTGTCACGAAATCCACTACCTACAGGGCAGTTGAGATGACTACATTTTGAACACCACTTATGCACGTAAATTACACGTCAAAATTAATCAAAGGCCAGGTCGATAGATAAAACCAGCCTTATACTTTACAAGCTTAATTACAATTGTTACAATAGTGTGACAGAATTCAGTCAGTAAAGCCTGGAAAGAATTTTTGTTTGGAAAGCACAAAGCGAAACGGATTAGCATAATCTTCTTCCGCTCGAAATTACTAGGTGAATTACTAGTATAGTAAGCCCAGTTACAGGCAGTGGCTCTCTGAGAGTATCTCTGATTTTATCCCGACTGCTTATTCACCAAGGGCAATGCAATCCTTAAAAATCCCCCCCCTTAATTTACCGACAAAACAATAATCCATAAGGCGCCACGTGTATGTATATCAGCAATATTTACCCAAGCATTGTAATCATTCTACGAAAAAATAAACATGGACCCAAGAAAATATTGAATCCAGTTCTGAAGAAAACTCTTCACTGTTTCGCTCGCGGAATCTTAACAAAAAAATACGACAGGTTTTTCGAGTATAAGTACAGCGTAGAGCAAAGTTATACATGTTTTGAATATACTTAGTCAGATTCAAATATACAAATCAAAAAGGAAATATACAATATGGCGTCATTCATGCGTCTCTGAAACATGGAGTCGTCCTGGGAAAAAAATTGATTTCAATTCCTAAATATAAGTTAATAAAATGCTGAGGGGTTGGACTTGTAGCATTTTTCAGTCTAATCGATAAATCTCGCTAACTCAGAGCAAGCGATGAGGAGAGTGTGTCAGTGTGTTAGTTTTGGTAACACAAACTTCATTTGTTCGGCAGTAATTTAAGAGCCTTGTTTCGCTTTCGGGGTTGATCTCATTTAAAATGGTAAGGTGTTACTTACGGTTCTCAAACTGGGGCTATGAATATCCATAACGGCGACAATGACATCCACAAACTTACAGAGTTCGGTCACTGCATCATCTGTAGCCTTCCGTTCGCCTATTCCCGGAGTATCGTACAACACAACATTTTCCACAAGAGCCTTACATCGCGCTGTAGGCCATTTCACATCAATAATACTGGCCGGGGTGAGACCGAGTGTTTCCCGCTGTTCTTTAGCTTTTAGAACGTGAAGAAGCTGTCGAAACTCGGAAATCTCTAGAGATTTACCAGAGCTTCTTTCGACCGCCGTCCACTCGTCGCTTGAAGACCCGGTCACCGCTACGTTGCAAAAGGTGGTCTCAGCTCGAGTAACAGGCATTATGTTTTCACCGAGTAAGGCGTTTATCAAAGTCGATTTTCCGGCGCCAACGGAACCAACAAAAGCGACCTGCAGTTTACTTTCCGCCCGTGTTGTAAGCTGAATTGCAGAGGCGTTTAACCGGTCAATTCGATTGGAGACTGTCTCGAAATCTTGCCACTCGTTTGAGGTGGAACACTCTTCGTTAAGGAGACGACGAACATCATCTCTGGTTTCCGTTAAAGCGTTCACTAAATGTTGTAGCTGCTCTCTTGCGAGCTTTATCTCTCGAATTCTTGGTGCAAACTGTGCGAACATCGTTAACCTTTCTTTGATATAATTATAATCAAACTGATTTAGACTTCGCTTGTGGAGACAGATATGACATGCGCTTTGCCTCGTGACCCGTATATGCAAATTTCTAATCCCTGTCGATCAAAATGTGGGCATACAAGTCAGAATTACTTATGTAGCTTTCTGCAAAGGTAAGCACAAATTTTGGTGCCTGTAGAACATATTACGACAAAATAACAGTTTTAGTGTCATAGCCTTCTGGGAGGGTCCAAAACATAATTTTTCAATCCCGTATCCCGCCGCTATTTTCATTCCATCCCGCCATCCTGCCGCAATGAACATTTTCATCCCGAACCCACCAACAGCGATGTCGTCAACCAGTTCATTGAACAAACAAATTGAAACAACCCAACAATCAAATTTACGGCTGAAAAGAGACTCTCTTTCAGACACCGCTATCCATAAGTGTAAAAGGTTCAACAGGGACTCAGTTCTGGACATGAGGACCCACCTCTACACATACCCACTTCTACACATCCACACCCACCGGGAGCAAAGAACGGTTTCAAAAGAAAAATTTGAAGATAACATTAGACAGTTAAAAAAATATTTGGCATAGAGAGGCTACCCGAAAAACTTTATCGACAACCAACTCTCAGAAGGGAAAAAAAACAATCGAATCTTGCCCTTTAAAACACAATACTAGCCAACAGTTCCAAACCCTGAAGAAATCCTTATGAGCGAGTGACATTTAATACCACAAAAACCATTACTAAGAGAAATCTTTAAAAAAACACTCATAACATCATACAGAAGGGGGTGTTCCCTCAAAAAGACGTACAGGCGAGAGCAAGATGATAACGAAGGCGAGAAAGCTGGACATACTATATGGAGCCGCGTAAACACTAGTAACAAATACAAAGAAGAGTGGAAATACTTCGGAATCATTTAGACCTATCAACCCCAATTTACACGGGAGCATTAACTAATCCCGTTTCTAAAACAAATAAACACTTTTTAATGGCTCTGAGGTCGTGTGACTCGTAACTAAATCATGATCTCGACAAAACTCGTCCTATCTCCTATCCCGCCTTGAAATGGAGCATATCCCGGTTTCACCTTCCAATTTTCATCTTATATTCTGCTTTTAAAATTTCTCGTATCCCACACCCCGTCTGGATTTTAAGCCTCATCCCGCCAAACCTATGTTAGGCCCTCTTCTGGGGATTATTCGTTTTGATTTTCTATAAGATGTTTATGGGGTTAATATGCCTCTCAGTTCGATTATCCTCCGTAAGCCTTAGTTTACTTGTTTAAAGAATTGTAATGATTTTTGTACTGACATTGCATTTACATAGTCAAGCACCCAAATACCAATAAGTGACCAGACTTATGTGTAGCTTGTATACAATCTTCGGAGACGTTACGATAAAAGAGAAAGAGAGTCCTCCTCACTATTCCTCTCTTCGTACTATTGAGTCTGTTCGTAAATTGCTTGGCATGCCTGAGATCTTTATTCAACGCCATTTATTTTCCATTTGATATAGACTATATTGATTTTAACATGCACATAGTAGCTAACAATACACGTAAAACCATCTTTTACTAATCCATACCGTGCACCAAAAATTCTATTTTTCTATACTAAGAAGTAACGAAGACGAAACTGAACCAGTTATGTACCTTAGATCTCGATTGTGTAAATAACTTTCGATCTTTTCATAGGATAATCAGAATATTTTCGTAATATGCATCTTTGAAGTTTGGAAGTCAATCTTTTAGCGTCGTCGAGAGAGTACAGCTTGATTAGTGTAGGCTCTCTACTTGGCGGTTACACCAAATATTGTATCAATAAGTCTCCATCAGCTACCTCCGTGGCCATCTATGAAAATATGAGAATTATGGCCAAAAACGGTTTGACCCTTTACCTCCCTTGAGTGACCAGGAGAGAATTTATCCTTACTATATCAATACAACATCAAACATAGAATTGATGAGAATAAAGAAAAATATTAATTAGGGGACTATTTGTTGATCCAATACCAAATTCTCCAAATTTACTTCATAAAAATTGTATAGCAGACAAGAAAGAGAATTACTGATCAGATTTTTGGTAGTTAAAGGATTAATATGAAACAGTGGACAGATATAGAGATCTCACTCAGTCTAAGAACCCAAACGGTGGCTTAAAGCCTGGTAACGACCAAAAAATGAACTTATCTTGTTAAAATAAAACTGATTATAAGTGAGCATTGTTCATAACAGTATTATTTTGACCATCTATTTAAGCCATGAGTGTATAGATCAATTTTAAATTGAGCGTTCAAAGATTACATTGGTTCTGCTTTGCTTTTCTTCTTATTTAGTCTGGAATAGTCTCTCCATCCTCTCAACCAATCAGATACGAAACTTAAGCAATCGTGACTCTATCATTTCCTTGTTTTTAATTTGTATTCTCATAGGTTTCCTGTCTCATCATTCAATCAAATATGCTCTTCTGTAACACTCAATCATGAAAACCGTACCGTAATACCGTGATACTATCATAATTCATATTTCTACTATATCCTCACTACATACAATGAAGCCAACAGCTTGAGGAAAGTAATTAAGATTTCAGGTTCTGTTAATCAACGATACAACGCATGATAAAATGTGATCAATCAAACAACAGGCTGAATTCATCGTCCAAGTCATCTTTTGGTTCTTGTTGTTGAGCTTGTTGCATGAGCTCTTCAAAAGTGGCCTCTTGTATTGTGAAAGGGAGAAGTTTCCACTTCTTAACCGTCAACCTTCGTGCCTTAGGCCCTGGAAATTGGAGAACGAAGCCAGAAATCTTGATGCACATCCACTCCATGCCATTGATAAGAACTGTCACACCCCAGTCTTCCCTGCACTCTTTACAATATATTTTCCTGTTCATTTCGACGCCATCAAGAGCCTTAGGGTTGTGATGTTCCTCCATGACCACCTAGAAATAGTCAAAGATTCTTTACCAACCATTTTCATTTTTGGAATGACGATGATCCAACAGCCTTATGTAACAAGACTGTTGAATCATCTATTAAACATCGCTGTATATGAAAACTGACGTGGCTAGTTTTAAATTTATACTCCTGAAAGTTATGGTAAAAGTGAGAGGTGGATTTTACGAAGCTGGAGAAAGGCCGCTTCAGATTCGCTGATTTTGACCTTTTAGTGTCTTCATTGCACTCGAGCTAATTCAATAATTTGGTCTACGATTTAACAGATCCAACAGCCTGACTGGCCGGTTAAAAAAAAAAAAAAAGAAACAACAACATTCGGAAAACTATTTTTCTGTGTTAGTTCAGGGGATCGCGTCCGGCTAGAACAATTGATCATTTAGACTTGCTGAGGTCAAAAGAAAAAAATGTTTTCAAGGCATGCATCAAACGACGTGGAGTCACATTCATTCACGATATATGGTCACTAGATCGTGACACGAACGATCAAACGTTTAGTTATCATTTTACTTAGATGAAAAAACACATTTCTTATGACAAAGTGTCTCTACCTTGGAGTCCCGTACGTCGCTACTTATAATCACGTGATAGGTTTCTTTAACGCGCCGTATGTTATGCGCTTGACAAACTTCTGCAAAGCACTTTCGGCAATGGAAGGTGACATCGTCAGGCACAGGCTCTGAATGTTTCAACGCCATCACGCGCTTTTTCAACTTGCGATCCAGAAAGTTCCTATCCTGTATAGCTTTCACCTTCATTAGAAAGAGGAGAGAATTACCACTGGATCATAAAATTGATGCATGTTTCACAGCTCGACACTCATCTATCGGAATAGATCCTTTTTAGGGGATACAGATTTTGTGAGAGGACACCTTCAACGGAAGAGGGAAGAGTCCTAGATCACTTTGTCAAATGCGGTAAAATACTGATTTTCTGCGTGTAATTTACATTGTTGCACACATTGTTTTTTACGATTAAGAAATTACATTGATGTCCCCCTATGTTAGGAACCAGTCATTATGTATCGCCTATAATTAAGGGGGGGGGAGGAATTAGTCGATTTTGGTTTTGTAACACCCCCTTCTCCTTCATTTTCAGTTTATTAGAAGTTTATTTCCCATGATTTCCCCCTTTTATACTCTGTTAGCGACGACTGATCTTTCCCTCGGCTCCCCCTGAAAACCATGTGATCCTCGAAGATCCTCCAACCCCAATTCCCCCCCTCCACCTCGGCGAGGAATGATGACTGTTTGCTTAGGGCTGAATATGAACAAATACATATATGTTATTTGCCATTTCCCCCGAAGGAGCCAAGCAAGGGGATACCTTTACACCTTGGCAAAGGTTTCCATTGTTAGAATACACATATGTTCGGTGCTTACCTTACTCTGAAAGGCTTTTGGAGACATTTTTTGCACCTTGCTGAGGGCTTCAATCATGAGGGATTCCCGAAATTGGTTTGTATATTCTCGTTTTAATGCTCCAGAATCCCCACTTACGAGCACGCTATACATACCCACTTCCGCCCTGGTAATTAAAATAGCAAATGCATAAAACAAAATAATTATATAAGAACTTACAGAGGAAGGAGAAAAAATGTAGTTAAAGCTCAGCGTGTTGAGTACGCGCGTATTTCTCGTACTTTTTTTCTCTAAGCGCCCTGACAATAAATAAAAATATTTGACGTAACCTCTGCCACAAACCTTTAAGCTCTCGGTGCACGAGTCAAATTCAAAATGATTGAATATCAAAGGAAAGGGAAACCAAAGAAGACGAAATGAAATTGAAGGCTACAATAATTTTTTTTTTTTATGAAGAACATAGCAATGCAAATCTCGAGCTTGGCTCGTTTCAAAGTCTCTTTTCAGAGCTTATCCTTGCGACTGCAGCGTGCTAGACAATCGAAATTTCATGCACCCCCTCCCATGGCACTTTAACGGATCTCCCTAAGGGTTTCTCTGGTTCTAGCCCCCAGATAAGGGGGGGATTTATATTAACTCGCGAAAACCATAACTCCGTTCAAAGTTGAAATACGACTCTCTCGATTTTTAATTTAGCGCTGAATTTTTTTACCTGACACGGCCACGTGACTGCACAGTGGAAATCTCGTTGCCCATCATATCATAACGGATCACAAAATTACAATCCATGATGTCCAGACCTTCCTCTGCCACACTTGTTGCAAGGAGAAGGTTCGTTTCTCCTTTGTGAAATCGACTGATCACTCGCTCTTGCTCATTCTGAGTCATGCCGACTAAAAAATAAGAAAAAAAAATTTTTTTCAGTTTGAATTTTTTTTTATTCCAAAAAGATCTTCTCTTTTATTCCTCAGTGATTTTTAGCATGCAAAATCATCAGAGACAAAATGCCAGGGATACCATCGCCAAGGGCATTACGTCTTTTATTAAATGTACTGCTTGAGGGTTTGAACTTACTGTTGCCATCTCCACTGCCCACAAGAGCCTCTGGCCTGAGGACAGTCTTCAGTTCATCGTCTTCCTTAATCCAATCTTCCAGAGCTGTCGTGGATTCTCTTGTTCTTGTAAAGACAATGCCTTTGGGACCTTTCCACTCTCTCTGTTCACCATTTCTTTTATTTAATGACTTATCGTCTTGCAAGTTTTCCGCTGATTTGTCAGTCTCTTGGCTAGGGTTTTCATGGTTGTTTTCTGTAGCTGTTCGAGATTCACATTCTTCCGCCGCGTCATCAACATCAGCAGCGTCAATATTACCAAGGTCTTCCTTTGCAGAGTCTCCATTCTTGTTTCCACCACTTTCTTCTTCATTGTGTGTTGTTTTGTCTAGTGATGTCCCTTCATTTTTACCCTCTTCCTGACTGTCATCGCAAGTCTTATCATTCTCTTGGTTGCTGGATCTTGTTTTTTTAGACTTTTCAGAATCATCGACATCTTCTCCTACTTCTGATATCCCTGTAGCTGAACCTTCATCGTGACGTTCATTTTCTCCGCCATTCTCAACCCCGTTAGCTCTGAGTTGTTCTTCTTTCTCCCCCTTCTGAGGCCTTTCCTCTTTATAGTGTTGCAAGAGCAAATCTTTTAGTTTCATCAAAAGAGGATTTGGGGGTTCACCATGTTCTTTCACGTGCTTATCCAACATGCTCATAGCAGCTTGAAAGAGATTTGTCAACTTTTCGTCAATCTGAAGGAACTTCTCTCTATCCAAAGAATCAAAATATTTTTGAAGGCATTTCCTGGCATTTTTCATGGTTGTGCTTTTGTTTATAGTCAAGGCAATGTGGTACTCGCGGAGATGTTCTGCAAGCGTTATAAGGATCCGGTCTGCATCTGTAACAGAGTCTTTGTAAAACTCTTCCACCCATTGACGATATTGCTGACTTCCCTTTTCTTCCGGTGGAACAGACTTTAAGAGCTTTCCTTTAATTCCTTTAACTCTAGTTTCGATTTTAGTCATGACCTTCAAAATACAGAAAAAACGCAGTGAAGATTAGAGAAAGCGAACAAGGGAGAAATTTCTTTAAGGAATGATACAGCTTAAGAACAAGTGGGCACGAATAAGAAAGAAAGGAAAGCTCCCGCCTCTAATGCCCTCTTGAGATCAGTTCGATTCGCTCACTCGACTCATAATTACGGCATTTAAATTTACCACTACTTAATACTTTACTTGCTCCTGGGCTTTCTCCGGGTTCTCCTTCCCGTTTCCTATCATAAAAATCTACACGCCGAACTAAGACCAAACAAAGACCATATTTGCGACTTTGACAATCAAATGACTCCAATCATTATCATTCTCATCTGTTATTACCTGAGAAACAATCTTTTCAAATGGATCTTTTTCTGACGTGGGAACTTGGAAAACTTTTCTCTCTGGAACATTTGCGTACTGTGCAAGCTCTGATTTATTCTCTTGCACCGTTGAAATAACTTCCGCGTCTAAGTTGGCTGAAAGGAGAATAATGTGTTCTGCCGCCTTTTCGACGCTCTTGGCTTTTCCTGTACCAAGTGAGGCAGTGAAACCAACAACCTAAACACCGTAGAAATAAAAAGAACCACCTTAACAAAGAAAAGTTCAAACCTCGCAGTAAATAATAATGATATTAAAAAAAACGAGTAAGATCTAGATTAGAAAAATTTTAATCTCCTGTCGATTGTACCTGTGGCAAGGGGCCTTGATGTCGCGGCTGTTTTTTAAAGGCAAGATACCTTTCCATGATTCTGTTGTAAGAGTGCTCCTTGTGTGCATGGTGACACTCGTCAAAAAGCAGAAGACTTATGTCCTGGAGATTCACTTGCTCCTCTTTACTTTTATTGTTCAGAGCGTTGACAAGCATCTGTGCTGTCAAGACAACGATGCTATGGCTTTGTAGAAGATACTTCAGGGGGACCTCAGTAGCGTTTGCACCAGAAATGTCAATCACGGGGTATTTGTTTCCCAGGTGCGCTTCGAAACGCTCCTTTTGCTGAGAAACGAGGTTCACTGTGCTCACAATGAAGACCACTTTCGGCTGTTTTCTATTACTGCTGTCTGTGGCTGTTGAGGGATTCAAAAAAGGCCGAGAAGCTAAAGTGCCATAAATGATTGAGCTTATTGCGAATTCTTCAGGGTGAAGTGATGAGGAGACGTAGGTTAGCCCTCCCTCTACATTTTCCAATGGAAGTTATGCAAGCCATTTCCGAATTTACCTTTGGCCCCTTTTCTCAAAACGAGGCCTGGTGGTCAATCATTCGTATGAACATGAGTTAGGTCTGCATATGAATGAAAACTTCTAACATATGAGAGGATGAGCAACAAGACTCGATTTGAAAAAGAGGTCAAAGGTAATCCGGAAATGGGCCTAACCTAACTACCTAACCCCGATCGTTCGATGTGGAGTACAGCAGAACCTTGAGGCAATCATCAAGTAGTTGATGTTATCGAGAGTTACGGCAGTCCCGCTGGCAAAATTAGCGTTACTTGACGGATTTCTTAATACGGTACTTCGAGATAGAATGATCCCATAACTACTGTATTCAATCAAACATAAGAACCAGTTTGAGGCCGGCCTGTTGTAATCGTCGGACACGACTGTTACTGTAGAGATTAGCAGCGAAGGCGTTTCACTAAGGTCCTGCCATCTGATGTGGCATCCGGCCTTAATTTACGTCTGTGCGAAAGAGCAACTACAATTGCTATTACTGATTTAAACTCTGAGAAGACTCAGTGATAGTCAGTTACGGCTGGATGAAGGAAAAAACAGTGGTTTATAGATCGCAGCCACCCTTATGCCAACTTGGAATGATCCAAAGCGTTTAATTGGAAAAGCCGAGTTGGATGTTTGATCGAGAAAGAAGCGCGTATTTCTACAAGCTGATAAGATCTCTATATGGAGTCGCTTACCTTCATTGTCCGGTGTGAAAAACTCTAGGTGTTTTTTAGCTATTTCTAGGGCCACATACGTCTTCCCACTGTTGGTTGGGGCGCAGATGATGGTGTTTCTGCCTTTCAATGCTGGAGCCGCCAATTCCTTCTGGTATTCTCTAAGCTCCAACTCACGAATGTTAAAAGAGTTGGCATTGCTTCCCAAGTAAACTATTTGAAAGGAAAGTAAATCATATGTGTGGGATCAAGTTCGCATACTGAATCACATACGGGAAGTTCTGTATCATCTCACTCTTTGTACACATTGTATCCGTCAAACAACAGCGTAATAGAGAACTCTTACCAGGTGGAATGACGATTTCGTCTATTTCATCTCTGTCTATTTCAGAGAGAGATCCATCATCTTCAGCAGCACTGCCTTCTGAATGTAAAAAGAAACAGCAAAGTTGAGTGAATGCATCACCGTATTTAAGTTTCAAAAGCATTTTCAAATTACTTATTTATCACATGCAATCGCAAAATCTGATTTGGAGGTATTAACTTAGCTTTTTTAGTAAACTAGGAGTTTTATCGTTTTCAAAATTGTTTCATTTCGCCATAGGGCTTTCATCAATATTTCGAAACGTAGAATCGGACTGTTAAGTTTCACTTTTATATTACGTAACCCTTGTTACATGTTATGAAGAAAGAATGTCGTATGATATTTCTATGATAACGTAGCATATCGGATTTTGAATCATTACCTTGTTTGCTCGACAAAGTGTTGCGCATTTGTTCATCTCTTTCCTGCTCTTCCTCGATCTCTGCCGATCAACGACATTGCGACAAGGTATATCAGTACATTGTCTTCATCAACACTTTTAAACCCATGCAGCGGGAAGGGACTTGACCCCTCAACGTGCTTGTCAAAATGTTTTAGATTCACGTCAATCGCCAGTGTCGCTACCCTTCTCACATATAGAGTACTGATAACACATTTTCGTAACTGAGAACGCTCAACATCCGTTAAAAAAGGAGTCCTGTCATTAACCTAACATTACAGTCAAAGTCTTACTAGAAAGCGTGACATGTTTTTTCCCCTTAAAACCTTAAACTCTATTCGCAACCTTGACCAACTTGCTTAAATATACATCGTACACCGAAACCTAACACCACGTTTACTGAATTACTACGAGCCGAGGTCTTTCGTCTTGCAATATTCTAGCAAAATTGGACAAAATTAAATGGTCAGTACGGTATTTAAAAAGTTTACCAAAGTGTTGTTAACTACCTTTGAGTTTCTTTTGAATTTGTTTAAACCGATCTTCGCTAAACGTTATATTTAGTTCGAGCGGCTTGTCTGGGAGCTTTTGGTGTCTTTTCAGAGTGTCTTCCACCAGAACCTCTTTTAATTTGTCCTGAAATGTTTGTTTACTGTACATTTCCCACAATTTCTTGGCTGCCTCCACCGTTGACAAGCGGAAAGTTGCAATGACGGAACCTTTAGCAGTGTTAACAAAAACAGCTCCTTGAGGAAGATGCTGAAAAAAAAATCATAAAGGTATATCCACAATTGAGCTTTTTGTGGACAAGTTTTGACTAGAAACACTTATGTCATCTCCAAATGGTGAGTAAACGTAATGTTGCGTTAATTAATCCTAACTAATGCGTGACTCAAATTCAAGGAAATGCCTTTCCTCGTGTCAAGGTGGTTCTTGGAAAACTGCATCCATTCGGCTTATGTTTGCTATACTTGAGACAACATGACATGATGTGATATTACTTGACCATCTCTGACACAACCTCTACAGTGTGCAGATTTCTCAAAAAATTTCTCACCTCTGTAGAGGAAAGAAGCAAAAGCCGCAGACACACGCTTTGCTAATTTGCTATCGAACACTGGGCCGACAGGCCTTGTTTTATAGTGTTGAGAGAAAAAGGAGAAAAAAGAGGAAAATTGAATTACGAATTAAGACGTGTAAACACTGACTGTTTCCAAACTCGTTATTTCTCCTGTGATATGCAAAAATGTTTTGAAATGTTCGCTTCTATTTCAAATTGTGGGTGACAAACTTGCTCCACCAAAAGAAAAAATGGAGAGAAGTATTTGTCTCGTCCGCTTTTATATGGGGTCCAACTGATTCAGGTTTTACTCAGTTTAATGATTTTTGATAACAGGTCTGCTGTAGTACACACATTTTCCTAAAACATACTTTTTGTAGATCTCTTCGCATTCTTTTGCTTTCTTCAGACGACTGTTTCCCGAAAAGGCCAGCCAAATACTCCTCCAGATCGGAACCGCTCTCGGTTTGTTCCTCGTCTGCACTGGTTTCTAATGATAGAATTCCTCTAAAGGAAACATCTGTTTAAAACAAATCAGAAAAAGAACAGCTTAAGAAAAGACTTAGCGACTTTTTTGATAGTCATGATTTATTCTATAACTGTATCTCGAGATCCATGATTGTCAAGTTTTAAACACGAAAATTCATGATTCCTTCTACTTCAACCGCCATGATTCATGTCGTGTAAATTGCTTCAACCACAAAAATATGAATTGTTTTCCAGAATTTAACCATTTAGTTTTACATTTCTCAACCACGAGGCCGCGTAAATCATATGACCTGAACGTCACCAATGCAATGGCGCGCAATACGTATAAAAAGATGAAAAATGTTGAAAAACTAAACAAGATGTTAATGTTCAGTCGCGACAATTCATGATTCATAATTTCACTTTTACCAATATTCATTAGTCCTTGTGTACACGTTTTATATTTCTAGAGCATATTGTCAGTCTTATTCAAGTTTTAGGTAATTTCTTCTCCTTGAAGAGTGCCCCCACGTGACTCAAGGCATGCCAGTAAAAGAGGGTCGCAGTGGGGTTTAACCGTCAGCCGTCAAAGGGCCTAAAATTTAACTGTCTGCCGTCAAAAATGCTAATTTTTTACCGTCAATCGTAAAATAGTAGGTGAATACTAACCGTCAGATGCTTGAAAGGTGTTTCGGATTTTGCTATTTTCCACATTTTAGCTGCTTACCGCGAACAGTCGAACATCGTCTCTAAAGGATCTTTTGACTGGTAAATCAGGTTCCAGATACTCACTTTTTTTGCCTAAACTGACTGCTTGGAATGTTTTGATATCTAAATTTAATAGTTTATATTTAAAGAGAGCCAACGTATTTGATAAGTTATTAATTCTTGCCAGAGGCCACTCCACGCGGCGTTAATCCCGCCTATCGACCAAGTCATTACAGACAACAGTTTACTTCATGTCATGCATGTCATGTCACGTCGAACGTGTTTGAAGCCGTCGTGAGCTTGTATTATGAAGGAAAAGATAAAGCTTTCGAGCGATCCAAGACAAGCATTTATTTTGGGGAAAGGCATTGGAAGTTTTCGGACGATAAATCTCAATTCTATGGCTGCAAGAGATTTTTCTGTTCAGCAATGACCTTGTTTAGCGACACAAGTATACCAAAATTCCAGACCAGATTGATGAGTACCGAAGCGACTCGGAGAATGAATTCATGGAAAATTAAGATGAAGAGTTCAAGGACTTGGAATTAGACTTAACACTATTAGATATGAACGGCAAATTAAACCCTCAACAAAATTTGATCTTTGAATTTACCTTCCGCTTCTCGCCACATTGTTCCAAAACTATCGAAAGTACTCTTGAACAAGTACTAAGACGTGGACTTGTACCACCATCAAGTTAGGACATAACACACATACCTCTACGTCATCTACCCACCATAACGAATCTGTTCACATAGAGTCACTACGTCAGCAATGCAGTACTTTTTGGACTAGCGAATGTGATAACCGGAAAAGGAAAGTAAATGGAGTCGACATCGCAGTTTTAACCATGTCACCAGGATGGTTGACAACAGCTCAGAGAAGGCACTAATGTTGAGCGAAATGTCAACGAACTTCCGTGATATAAAGACGTTCTCGAATATAATGTTACTGGTCGACAAATGGAACAGCTGCTGAAAACTGCCTTGACGAATCCAGCTTGAGGAATCAGGTCTATAAAAAATTCTGCTTATGTGGTTTGCGCGTGTAACAGTAGAAAGTAAGGTATTGTTTGACACTAGGCCTTGAAACTGATCATGAATTATTATTAGAGGTCGTGGAAACACGCCTTACTCCACTTAGTCAAAGGAAGACTGAATAGGCATAAAAATAGTTGATAATTTAGATGAAATAATGAAAAACTTTATATTAACTCAAAGTCATCAAAGAAATATCTTCCTGATTAACGTCAGCCCTAAGCCAATCCCCCCCTTCCCCATTGAGACCCTCGTATAAGGGAATGGAGGAGTAAATGCGAGGGTTTACGGAACTAATTATAATTACAGACAAATTGACTCTAAGTGTCATAATAAGAACAAAATGTTTCTGCTTTGCCCGAAAAATCTAATAGAATAAACGCAAAAATATTATGATTAAATGTCATTTACCAATTGCTGTTCCAATCTTTTTGTAACCAACTCCTGAGCCCTCTGAGACAGCGACTTCATCATCCCCTGCGTCAACTGAATTAAGATAATTTTTTTTACGAATATTTATCTTTGGTAGAAGCAAGCAAACGATGAGAAGGAAGCGATGTACCGTGAAGTGACCGTGTCTCCCCGTGGTCCATTGAGATGCAAATATACTGACCAAATGGTGAGACACGTGACACTGTAAAATTAGTGTAAACGCAAACAACCTGGATACGAGTATGTGTAAACAGAGCCGAATGAAACGTTGAAAGTCTATCATGACTTGCTCGTGTCTGGATAAGATTTGACCGAACTTTTAAAAGATTGAAAGTAGAGTCAAGTTTTAGTTAAGTCCATTGGAAATGACTTACCAAGTAGGTGTCTCAATTCGATGGAGTTTCACGGTTAGTGATATGAATTTCTTAACGACAATGATTACCATTAGCTCAAGTAAACATGCAGTTTTGAACTCCCACACGTACTTAATGAACTTTGAGTTACATCCTCGTACATAATCGAGTGACTCATGGGATCTAACGAAAGAAAGCAAAGTTTGCATTCCTCCCGCCCGGATGATCTTAAGCGGGATACGTCCAACTTTAGAACAACATATTGACACGAGCTTAAGACAAGGCTAAAGATAACATGAAAGAGTGAGGTTATCGTTCATAGACCGTAAAATAAGTGTACGTCAGTTAACTTCTGTAAATCTCGATAACAAAAATAACTAATCGTGTAACCCGGCGAATTAAAACGATGCTTTTGTGGAGCCAAAACAGTCTCCGAAAAAATCCATAACCATGCGAGCAAAAAGGGTCATTAAAATACAATCTCATAGAGCATAAGGGCTTACTTGGATAATTGTAGTACGGGTCCAACAACAAAGCAGTGTGTTCGCTTCCACATTTTCTCAGGGCTCGTACAAACTCCGAAAAACCTTTTTCCCGTCTTTTCAGCCGATCAACAAGAGTTTGATTCGCCGTTGTTGGTCCCTTGATGTTCTGTGTCGCTTCGATAGCTTCTTTATCTGTCTGCTGTAAACAAGATAAATATGGAAGCAAATCAACTGGAATGACTTCTTCCATAAAATCTTTCAGACGTTCCTCTAGAATCTTTTTTTCGTAGGGTCTCATTGTTGTTTCAGATCCCAGAAGTTCATAAAATTTGACCCGAAACTCCGTCGAAAGCGAATGACTCCTTGCTTAACGGGCTCGCTATTTATATCGTCTCTGCATAATAAATTCATGAACCCGTAAAAAAAACTGGGAAATTCCCAGAAGCCATGCACTAAATTCTCGGAAAACGCTACGTAAACAAAGTATCAAATTTTGCTTTTCCCTTTTGTTTTCGAGAATACATAGGGCTAGAGTTGGTCATGCTTCTTGTGAGGTCATCTACACTGTAGCCACTGAACAGTCTTCGTTTGACGAAACACCCAGAAAAGGTACTTTCCCAGGTTGAATTTCATTAATATCAAATTTCAGTCTATGGAAACCGCGATACGAGCTGTTTTGGTTTCGATTTTGATCTGTCGTGTACGAACGTTGTTACATCTCGAAATACTATTAAAACGATGTCGAAAAAACTGCTACATTTGTGAAACTAATGGTAAAGGTTCTAAGACATAACTCTATTTCTCGCAGAAACTACTCATTGAGTAATACATCACATGCCCATTTTCGAGAGTTTTAATAACAGGGCTTTTTCCCATCGTCAATATGCTAATTTTCGACTGCATCATGTGGGACAACATTTACCAATTCTTACAAACAGGGACAAATTTGATTCTGGGATTTTTCTCTTCAAAACTGGTAATAGGAAATTAAGGGGAAGAAAAATTAAAGTTTCGTTTTCCCTTTCGATGTATTTCGATATTTCTCTTGCTTTGGAAGCGAGATGGGATAATAGGTTTCGAGTATAGCTATTTTTACTTGATAAACATTAGGTCAGTGTCATGATCTTTTGAAAATTTAAATATTTTCTCATTCGGTTTCCATATGCGTATGTAGATAGTTTTCCTTAACCATTAGTGACTTGTATTTCGTCCATTCCTTCACAGAATTCATCGGTATAAGTGCGGGATATTTAAGGTGAATATCATTTTAAAAAGGTTAGGACCAACCACGTACCGGTAATTTTCTAGAAGGGAAAATGTAAATCAGTATAGATATTGCACAGAGCGATCATTGTTTACATGTCTGATATTACGCATTTCTTCTCTTTGCTTCTCGATAAGAACAACTTTCTCGAAACTAATTAGAACGTAATTACCTATCGACACTTCGACCAAAAAGTAGAAGCAAATCTCGTATTCACAGTCGATGTAAATATTCCTACTCTACTGATAAAGGTCGACAGGAGTATCAACTTCAATCTTGTAGTCAGGAGTTCTGTCAACATATCGGGCTTAGCTACACATGATGTCGCCAAGAACCTCTGACCTAACTCAACATATCACCATCTTCAGAGTAGTGGCCAATTAAGCAAACTATATTTCTGGCGCCTCTTCCGATTTATTTTCGAAATAGCTTTCTCGAATATTTGTCATTTAATTCTCTGTCTAATGCGGGTAAGTTCACGGTGGGTGGCTTTTTTAAATGCTGATTGCCCGTCTAACCAAAACCAATCACGGCTATTCAAGCATGATATTTGGAACCAAAAATAGTTGAGGCATACGAGATTTTGTGACATTAAAAAGGCATCCCATTACAAGTGTTAATAGAAAATAGTTTATCATTCTTAGTTCAAAGAACAAAGGGTTGTCGTAAAAAGTAAACAAGAAATCTTTTATTTCGGTCTCGATGTATTTTCGTTTACAACATGTTAGTCGACTCATGACATGTGAAACTGAAAGAAATTCTCATAAAAAAGTTTTTGAAATCGAGAACTATCGAAAATCATCACGCGAAACCAATAAACCTCCGGCTATGCCATAATAAATAATGAAGTGTGCCTTTTGCGTTATGACCTTCTTTATGAATTTCAGTCGTAAAATATTATTAAGAAATAGCTCAGACCCTTTCCGGTTAGCGTTATAGTTTCGTGAAGGACTGTGAGCGTTTGAGAACGAAAACACGACAAATAATATGCCGCCGACTAGCAAGACATATATCGATAATAGTTGATTGATTACAACAGCCGCGGAAGTTCCTCTTGTAACACCTGTGAATTTGTTGAGATTCCTAATGGACTATGTTCAGCGGCTAGGACGCGTTCTTTTTTGCAAATCACTCGCGAATGAGTTCGTCTGGTCTGCACGGTTCAAACTAGGCCTGTTAAGATATTTCTTAGCAGTTTCAATATTGACCCATCAGCTATAGATTACAATGATAAAAAATTTAGAACTGACTCAGTAGGCCCTAAAAACCATCTTAAGTTACCATACCGTGTGCCAAAATTCCTTATTCACTATACTAAGAACTAGCGAAGACGGAAATAAATCACTTCGGTACGCACGATCCGATTTCGCTATTTTTCTCTTTCAGATCGGAAGTTGGGCGACATCTTTCCAACTATTTATAACATCAAAATATTTTTTGAGGCCTGAGTCCCCGAGACCAAGCTTGTAGGCAAGAGAGGTTCAACTCCATCGGTCTCAGCTCTATACTGGGTAGATGGTTATATCAAATGTTGTATCATCTTGTCTCCATCACTGAACTAATTATCTGGCAGGAACCATTAGTAATTGCCAATAAAAAGTGACACAATGGATAGAAATAGAAACTCTCTCACTTTAAGATCCTAAACGATAGTGTATTGACTCCAAATCAACTCCTCGCTCTTATTTTGGGTGTGAAATGAACTTTCCCTAGTTGAACTGATGAAACTGACTGGGACCAATGTCAATAAGAATTTTTATTGATCGTACGACTAACCCCTTAGGCGATAATTACTTTAAAAGTTAAACAAGAGTGCTGGTCACGCCTCGTATTTCCACGACAAAATTAGATTACTAACATCCAAGGCTTTCCTTTCCTATTCTAACATAACGTATCGCATCAACTAGGCAACAAATTCAAAGTTTGTGATAACTAACTGACATCTCAATATTAACAAGAAGCATTGCACTGCCATATGCGACCAAGTCAATCAAGCAAATCGCTGAGATCATCTTCGAAGAAATCTTCATCCTCATGTTCAGCTTGTTGCCAGAGCTCTTCAAATGTTGCCTCTTCAATGCCAAAAGGGAGATCTTTCCACTTCTTTTTCATAATTCGCTGAGGATTGGGCCCCGGGAACTGAACAACGAAGCTACTAATCTTGATGCACAACCACTCCACATCATTGATACGAACGGTCACACCCCAATCTTGACCACACTTTTTGCAATAGATTTTCTTGTTAAATTCGACATCATCAATTTTCTTGGGACTAGGAGAGATCTTCATGACCACCTGCAAATATAAGAGCGAGAGATTCGTTATCAAGCAAGCTCATTAAATTTTAGGAAGTGTTTTTTTTTTAACAATTCTGCTTTTCCCACAGTAACTTCGAGAGTAAGAATAAAAGAGGGAAGCTGCACAACTTCATTATTCAAGGCAACTTAGGAAGTTAGCACTAGACTGAGAGGCTACAAATACTGACCACGACACTGCTAAAATGAGAAGTACCGCTCTTTAAATCTGTGACGATGCTACTTTCTTTCTTCACCTCTTAGTCTTGTTAGCGTCCAAGCATTAATAGACCATGTGCAGTTTATGTAATCATGTCACCAAAACCGTGAAGCTTGTAACTTTTTATGTAAACTGTTTGAAATGAAGCTGAACAAAATCAAAGCAAATAACGACTACATATGTTTTACTGCGGTCAAAGAAAGTTCGTCTACCTTGGACTCCCGTACATCACTGTTGATGATCACATAGAAGGTCTCTCTTACGCGTCGGATATCATGTGCCTGACAAACCGCTTCATTGCACTTCCGGCAATGGAAGTTGACATCATCGGGTACAGGCTTTGACTTTTTCAAGGCCATTACACCTTTCTTCAGCTTGCGATCCCGAAAGTTCTTATCCTGTATAGCCTTTACCTTCATAGATGCGAAAATACATTGAAAAAATCATTTAAGAATGGTGCCAAATAGAAAATAAGATTAAAAACTGAGAGGCTTGTCAATGGAAATCTTCACCTCGACTATTTCTAGCCTAAGATAATTCCATTCAATGGACACACATTTTACTTCCGAAAGCTCTTTGTTCAAGGGAAACCCTACTCTGTCTCTTCTTCTCAAAAAAACTGACATTCGCTCTTGCTGAAATTAATTAAAGAAAAAACTCTCGCAGCCTTTGCAATTTGTTACTCCCACTAAAGCCAGCCAAGGGAACCCTATTTCGTCTATTTCATTATCTTCTGAATGGAGTTTGCTTTATTAGAATACAAACCTGATGTTTTTCTGGTACTTACTTTCCTCTGAAAGTCTTTTTCGGAAATGTTTTGAACCTTGCTTAGGGCTTCAACCATGAGGGTTTCTCGAAAACGGTTTGTGTTTTCCCTTTTCAATGCTCCAGAATCCACACTCACGAGCACGCTATACATACCCTCGTCTGCCCTAGTAAAAGAGAAAAAAAAATAAAGAAAAAAGAAAACTTTTGATAAAATAGAAGGAGACCTCGAGAACTCACGAACGAAGGTAAAGTTACTATAGTTGTGAATGCAATTTAATGGAAAATAAACATGCTAGACCAAAGTTCTTTGAAACAATATGAAATGTACTTAAAGAAGACAAACCGCTCGAGGCATGTGAAACTGAAACTGACGAAACCAGCATAAATCTTGTGAACCGACGGGAACTAAAAGCATGGTAAAATCCTTTAAAAAAAAACAAAAAAAAACAAACCGCTTCAGTGGCGTGCCAGTCAATGTCAGGTACGATAATGATAATGTTATGGTACCATTAATTGTACACCCCTTGGTGGAGAGTAAGTCTGTCTTGTCGTGGGACAGATACTGTGACATCGGTCAAGAATCAAACAAATGCTTCTTGATCCTTAGTCTAGTGTGCTAACTTCAGGGTGAACGCAGATCTGTAAAAACTTTCGGCATCTATATAGACGTAATAAGCGCACGAATGCAAGCAATAGATAAATGAATTTTACCTGACACGGCCACGTGACTGCACACTTGAGATCTCGTTGCCCATCATATCATAACGGATCACAAAATTACAATCTCTTATGTCCAAACCTTCCTCTGCCACACTAGTGGCTAGAAGAAGGTTCTTCTCTCCGGTGTGGAATCGACTGATTACTCGCTCTTGCTCATTCTGTGTCATTCCAACTACGATTTAGGAAAGGAAAACATCTTGTCATGTACAAATATTTTTCTTTGCTCCAACAAGATATTCATCCTTCTTTCATTTAAATACTCATCATGCAAAGAAGCAAAATTAAACGCAATCATGGAGATTTCCAGAGAAAAAAAAGGCATGTCTTAAAGATGTTGGAAAGACTATTATAGAATAACCGCTATGGTTGTTTTTCCTTTTGCAGTATGTAATGGTACCATATTAGAATTTGAACTTTAAAAAATTTATCAGCGATTAAACTTACTGTTGCCATCTCCACTGCCTACAAGGGCCTCTGGCCTTAGAACAGCCCTCAGTTGTTCATCCTTTTTAATCCAGTCCTCTAGGGCTGACGTTGATTCTCGTGTTCTTGTGAACAGAATACCTTTAGGCCCTATCCAGTCTTTATGTTCACCACTGCTTTTATCAGAAGTTTTATTGTCTGGCGTGTGTTCTGCAAAATTGTCATCCTCTTCGCTTGGTCGTTCCTGGTCGCTTTCCCCAGTTATCCCAGGATCACCTTTGTAGTGTTGAAGGAGCAATTCTTTCAGTTTCATTAAGAATGGATTCTCGGGCTCACCGTGCTCTGCTACATTCTTATCCAAAATCTCCATTGCGCACTGAAACAGACGTTCCAAACTTTTGTCAATAGGTAGGAATTTTTCCCTATCCAAGGATTCAAAATACTTCTCAAGGCGTTTCTTAGCATTTTTCATAGTTGTACTTTTGTTGATTGTCAAGGCGATGTGATACTCGCGGAGATGTTCTGCAAATGTTATAAGGTAACGGTCCGCATCTGCAACAGCATTTTTGGAGAGCTCTTCCACCCATTGGCGATACTGCTGACATGCCTTACTGTCATCCGGGGGAACAGAAGTTGATTCTTCTCCTCTTCTACCTCTCACTTTAGCTTCGATGTTCTTCATAACCTAAAAAACATGAAGGAGGATGAGGCGAGCTCTCCTCATACATTCTTGTTTCTGAATAACAACCCATCGACTCATTACCTGTGAAATTATCTTTTCAAATGGATCATTTCCAGTCGTTGAAAGTTGATATACATTTCGTTCAGGAACGTTTGCGAACTTTTTGAGCTCGGACTGATTTTTTTTCACAGTTGAAATAATTTCTGCATCTAAGTTGGCAGAAACAAGAAGGATGTGTTCTTCTGCTTTCTCGACACTTTTAGCTTTTCCTGTACCAAGCGATGCAGTAAAACCAACAACCTAAAAATGAAAATAAAGGAGATTGGATTACTCAGAATAAAAAAAAAATCATTGACTTTTGGAACTCGGAAGTAATCAGGACTCAAAAACACATGTACGTGTTGCCACCGATTTGATATAAACCTAACAATAATCGCAATCTAGTCGTGAACTTGTGTTTTTTTTTTAGCTCAAATTGGGTCCTTGCATCATTAGATTTTGCTGCGACTGGCTAAAAGATTACGTATTGTCAGTTTAGTTTTATGATAATATAAGGGAATGAACCCTATCCATTACCTACGATCAAAACATTTGGAATACGGTTTTTGAAAGGTGGGTAGTACCTTAAATTTTCTATCTTTCTTTTTCTGTTCAAATCGAAAAAAGGAGAAGGAAAAATTCGTTGCTCACTTGGGCCTAATGACTCTTCGCCTCAGTGCAGACTTGCCTCTATGCTTTCAGAAACGCCACGAAAAACAATACGATGTGTCAGTTACCTGTGGCAGCGATCCTTGGTTTCGAGGCTGCTTTTTCAAGGCAAGATACCTTTCCATGATTCGGTTGTAGGAATGCTCCTTATGTGCATGGTGGCACTCGTCAAATAGCAAAAGACTGATATCTTCCAAATTTACTTGCTCCTCCTTAGATTTACAAGTAAGAGCGTTGACAAGTATTTGGGCAGTCAAAACAATGATGTCATGGTTTTGTAGAAGATACTTAAGGGGGATCTCGGTTGCGTTTGCCCCAGAAATATCAACCACGGAATACTTGTCTCTCAGGTAGAGTTCAAACCGCTCCTTTTGCTGAGAAACAAGGTTCACAGTGCTCACAATGAAGACAACCTTTGGTTTTTTGCTATGGCTGCTGTCTGTAGGTGCTAAGGAGTAAAAAGAGTAAAAATGATGAGGCGACTTAGAGTTGTGATGCTAAGGAGAGGAGTAGATGTCTCGCTCAAGAACAAAACCTAATGGCCTGATCTTCAATCAGTGGGCCAGAGTGTTAGTTCCTGGGACACTGTCCAATTAAAAAAATTCGAGTTGGTATCTGGTTGAAATCCGATCAATTACTGATTGCTGCAGATAACTCATTATTGGATCGGCATAAGGGGAAAAGGAATGACTTCACCCAATATGTAATGCGAAAGCTATCGTTGACAATACAGCTAGAGTAACAATTCACTTGCAAAGAGAACAAAGTTCAACCTTGAATATTCTCGTGAAGGAATCGTTTTTCTCATATGCGTTATGCGTGAATTCGTGTGTCTCTAAATGTGTGGGAAAAGAATATAAAGCAAAGCTCTTTAAACGCCCTCAGAATTCTATAAATTGAATTCGCTTATAAAGAGACAATTTACTGTTTTATAGTCTTTTCATGATCAACTGTGTTATCTACCAGGGTGATGGACTGACATAACGATTATGAGATATGATATAAGAAGGCAACTTACCCTTTGCTTTGAATGACTCAAGATGGTTTTTAGCTATTTCTATAGCCACGTATGTTTTTCCACTGTTGGTTGGAGCACAGATAATGGTGTTCTTGCCTTCCAGCGCTGGATCTGCCAATTCCTTCTGGTACTCTCTAAGCTCCAGCTCACATACGCTAAAGGGATTGGCCTTGTTTCCCAGATACACTTTTAGAAATGGATAAATAGATCATATTACAGCATCACTAAGATCAAATTGGCATATGAATCTTGAATTGAAGATTAAGTTTCGAGGCGCAATACGCTCCGGTTTTTAAATCAGATGTATTTCATAGTAAGAATGCAATCTTACCGGGTGGAATGTCGATTTCTTCTTCAACCTCAGGTATAGATCCATCATCATCAGTAGCACTGTCCTCTAAAAATAAATAAACATAGGTAAATGTTTACGTTTTCGTGTGATATGCATCAAATAGCAATTATCGACTTTTCATTTTTAAATTAATATCTGGCATCTATATAATTTTCCATAGTACCTTCTACAAGATTTATTACAGTTATTCCATCATATTTACCGCATGGTCGTTTCAATCAAACGTGCATGTAATTGACTACCATTAACACCGTAAGTCTTCATGATTGAATGAACTTATCAACATCCAATGATCAAATTCCATTAAAGTAATGATCATCATATAACGAATTTGAAGTGTACCTTGCTTGCTTGACAAGGTGCTACGCATTTTCTCCTCTCTCTCTTGCTCTTCTTCGATCTCTACCAGAAAACAAGCATAAGTTGCTTGAATATACCAACTCATTCGGTACTTCAAGACAACTAAAATGACTAACTCGAAAGCTTTTTTACAGGTTTCGCTAACCGTTTGGGTGCTGTTCCTCTGAAGGACGAACAGCTCATTTCGGCAACGAGCACCGCACCATTCCTGTGAGTGAGGATGGCAATTAACAGCATAAACCTAACACTGGAGGGATGACCGGGGCCTTGTACTTATGTGACAACCATAAAAACGACCATAATAGTATTTTCCCAACTAGGTGTATTTAACACAGCGAAACTCATGATCACCTTTCCTGAAGTTAATTAAACGTCGAAGTGTCCCGTTAGTATTCTATGTTCACAAGATGAAAAAAACTCAGCAGCAAGAATAATGAAAAGTTCTATGGTGTTGTTTATTTGTTACCTGCTAGTTTTTCCTGAATTTGTACAAAACGCTCTTGGCTTATACTGAGGTTCAGTTTCAGCGGTTTCTCTGGGATCCTTTGATGTTTCTTAAAAGTGTCGTCCACTAAGACATGTTGTAACGATTTTTGGAATTCTCCTTCAGTATACATATCCCACAGCTTTACGGCTGCTTCTTTTGTTGACAAGCGGATAGTGGTTATGATGGAACCTTTAGCAGTATGAACAAAAACAGCTCCTTGGGGAAGATACTGAAAGAAATACACAGTCATTAAAATTGAGCATACTTGAGGGTATCAGATTAAGTTTGGAGAAGAAAGCGTATCTTGATCTCCAACTGATACGTAATTATGATGTTTACCCACAAGTTGAAAGTAAGACTTAGGCTTAAAGACTGAGGGCTGATTTAGTTGTTCACTCGCGTCAGTCAGTGAGATTCCACAATTTCGTTTTGACTGATGGATATGATGTTTCCTCAAGTTAGGAAGCTAAGTTAAAAATTCGAAACAATAAGTGTGAATTTTTCTTAGAGGTTTGATTTAATTGGAAACTTCAGAAAAAAAAAATTTTGAGACATAAGGTGTTGCGCCTTTCACTTAAAACAGGTTTCATTGTATACCATTTCTAGTGTTAGATCTGCGCTTCCATGGACTTACAATTAATTTTTTTAATATACCTTCTGGAGTTCCTTGCGCATTTGTTTGCTTTCTTTGGATGAATGTTGTTCGTAAAGTTCGGCCAAATACTTTTCCTCTGCATAACAGCTTTCAGGCTCTTCCTCATCCCCACTTGTCTCTGCTGATAGGTTACCTTTAATAATAACATCTGGAAAAAAAACCGACAAGACGAGCATTTAAGGACCGAAAAAAGCAAGTTTTTATTCAGCCCTAAGTCAGTATGACACAAAGATGTAATTGCAAAGACCAACTTATACAAAAGCGTCTTTTGTCGAGAAAAAGAATCCCCGGTCCGTATTTCCGTAACAAAGTATTATGGGAAAAAAATGATTTATTTCCTATTTTGAAATAAATAAATTATAATATGCTGTGTGCAATTAGTTTGTCTAGGTTAGTGACATAACATTGCACTGCAAGGGCCTTCTAGGATGGGAAGGGATGGGGGTGGAGTTCCACGTTGACTTATGCCACCTTCCTCGAAGAATTATTCTCGCCCTGCCCCATTTACAAATGGTCACATCCCTCTGTGTCCTTTTATCAATTAATGCAAAAATTATTACATACTGAAATAGCTTACCAATTGCTGTTCCAATCCTTTTATAACCGATCTCTGAGCCATTCGGCACAGCGATTTCATCGTCCCCTTCGTCAACTGCGTTCAGATGATAATCAATCAATTTCATATTGTTAGTAACTATGTTTTGACCGTTGTCGAACAGCTTAATTACATATGATTTAACATAAAGACACAATTGAACAATCCAGGGGGAACCATTCATTCTGCTCTTGAGCTTCCAATATCAAACCAAGTGGAATCAGCCTCCTTCAAGACCTCACAAAATATGACATAATTGCATCAAAACCCTCCGAAGTGAAGCAGGAAACAATAAAAACAAGAGGATGAAGGTAAAAATTTTTATATCGGACTCGGATTTTATCCGTTCGCTGTTCACTTCGTAAAGCCACGAGAAAATGACATAAATAGTGCTTGATGGTCGATTAATCCAATTTTAACATCTGCAAACTACTAAACACGAGCCTGGCCAGCTGGAATAAACTCTAGACTGGACTTTGGACTAGACTTATCTTTAAAATTATAATATTAATACATCTATTTGTAGCAATATAAATAAAAAAGGCTCGGGTCCAGGCCAGAGAGGAACTCAGAATCCAGTGCAGAGTCAAGAGAGTCCAGTTCCGGGTAAAGTCCAGAGTCCAGTCCAGAGTCCATTTATCTTTTGCAGCTGAACGTACAATGGTGTCAGAAGGCTTAATTTGCAAATTGTTTTAGCCCTTATAATGGCGGACATGGCGACGTAAACATAAAGAGGTACTTTGAGTCTCGTAAATCAGACTTAAAGGAGGAATCACAGACTTCCAAAGACATGAAAGGACCAAACAAAGGTAATTATGATGAGATGAAACGGTGAGATAATCTGTCACAGTCTGAGAAATAATTGACGGTTTCATTCCGTTTTAACGGCAGAGTCATCCGAACTCACAGGAACTTTGGATTTGGAAACTTATAATTCTACCGCGCAAAATGAGTTTAAAGCCAAAAAGTCTCCGGCAGAACGAAATGTAGTCAAGCAATTGTGAATTCGAATAACATCAAAGTAATACTAAACAAAGAACTGGCTTACTTGGATAAATGTAGTAAGGATCAACTAACAACGCAGTGTGTTCGTTTCCAGATGTCCTTAGGGCTCTTACAAACTGCACAAAACCTTTGTTCCGTCTTTTGAGCCGATCTACAAGAATTTGATTCGCCGTTGTTGGTCCCATATTGTTCTGTTTAGCCTCAATGGCCTCTTTATCCATCTGCTCTAAACAAGGCAAATATGGAAGCAAATCAACTGGATTGACTTCTCCCATAAAGTCTTTCAGCCGTGTATCCAAGATCTTTTTCTCGTCAGACTTCGTGTACGGTGGTCTCATTGTTTTTTCTTAGTGGAAAAACTGTAAAATGAAGCGCGAATCTCCGTCTTAAGCAAATAGCTCCCCGTTCGATCGTATTTATATCATCGCTGCATAATAAATTCATGAACCCGCAGAAAACAGGAAATTCCCGGAAGTCACGTGCAAAATTCTCGGAAAATGCTATGTAATCAAAGTTCAAATTTCGCTTTTCCTTTTTGTTTCGGGCATGAATAAACGGCTTTCGGAGCGGGGAAAGCCTATCAAAAGTTGCCTCAGCTTATTTTACGAAAGCCTTGGTCTTAAAAAAATCAAGGGATGTGGTATGTCATGATTCTTTCTTCCAATGCATCTACCGTTGTAGCCACTGAATATACTTAGTTTGAAACGTCCGGAAAAGGTACTTTCCCAGTTTGAATTTCATTAATATCAAATTTCAGTCTATGGAAACCGCGATACGAGCTGTTTTGGTTTCGATTTCGATCTGTTTTGTTCGAATGTTGTTACATCTCGAAATACTATTGAAACGATGTCGAAAAAACTGCCATACTTGTGAAACTTATAGTGAAAGTTCAAGGACATAACTCTATTTTTCGTAGGAATTATTTATTGAGTAATACATTACATGATCATTTTCGAGAGTTTTAATAACCGGGCTTTTTCCCATCGTCGATATGCTAATTCCTGACCGCATCATGTGGGAAAATATTTACTCAACTCGTACAAATAGGAACAAATTTGACTTTGGGATTTTTCTCTTCAAAACTGATACCAGAAAATAAAGGAGAAGAGAAATTAAAGTTTCGTTTCTCCTTTCGATGTATTTCGATATTTCTCTTGCTCTGGAATTAAGATGGGAAATAGGTTTCGAGAATAGCTATTTTTAGGTCGATGTCATGATCTTTTGAAAATATTTTCTCTTTCGGTTTCCATATGCATATGTAGATAGTTTTCCTAAACCATTAAAGACTTGTATTTCTTCCATTCCTTCACAGAAATAATCGGTATAAGTGAATATTTAAGGTAGCTGTCACTTTAAAAGGGTAGGACCAACCATGTCATATTTTCTATGAGGTAAAGTATAAATACAGACATGCACAGAGTGATCGTTGTTTATGTTTATGTCTGATATTATGTCTTTCTTCTCTTTGCAACATTCCCGAGACTAATCAGAACGCAATTACCTTTCGATATTTCCACCGAATTAGTAGAAGCAAATCTCTTGTTTGCAGTCGAATATTCCTCTTCAAATATTCCTATTCCTACCGATAAAGGTCGACAAGAGTATCAATTTTTGCAGTCTACAGTCTTGTAGTCAGAAGTTCTGTCAACATATCGGGCTTAGCTACACATAATGTAGCCAAGAACCTCTGACCTAACTCTACATATCACCATCTTTAGAGTAGTGGCCAATTAAGCAAAATTATAATTCTGACGCTACTTCCGATTTATTTTCGAAATGGCTTTGTCGAATATTTGTTATTTACTTCTATATGTCTAATGCGGGTAAGTTCACGGTGGGCGATTTTCTAAATGCTAATTGGCCATCCAACCAAAACTAATCATGGTTTTTCAAGCATGATATTTGGAACCACAAATAGTTGAAGCATATGAGATTTTGTGACATTGAAAAGACGATCCTATTACAAGTTTTTTCAGTGTAAATTAGAGAATCGTTTATCATTCTCAGTTCAAAGTAAAAAAGGGTGGTCGTAAAATAGTTTATGAAATCGAGAACTATCGGGAATCATCACACGAAACCAATAACCCTCTGGCTGTGCCATAATATATAATGAAGTGTGACTTTTACGTTATGACCTTCTTTATGGCTTCCAGTCATAAAAAAGTATTGAGAAAATAGCTCAGACCCTTTTCGGTAAGCGTTGCAGTTTCGTGAAGGACTACGAGCGTTTGAGAACAAGAAAACGACAAATAAATGCCGCCGACCAGCAAGACATATATCATCGGATAACATTTGATAAATTACAGGGGCCGCGCATGTTCCTCTTGTAGGATCTGTGAATATTCTCAGATTTCTAATGAGACTAAGTTCAGCTGCTAAGACTCGTCCATACTGCAATCCACTCGTAAATGAGTTCGTCTGGTCTACACACGGTTCAAACTGGGACTGTTCAGATATTTCGTAGCAATTTTAATATTGAAATAACATGATGGAACACTAAGACACAGTGTCAATAAAGGTGCTAATTTATTGACGTTATTATATGTACAGCTTCTTTATTAACGAACAATTATCATTCGACTTAAAAACTGCTCAAATCAGTTGTATTGTAGATGAAGACGTCATGAGTTCTTTTATTTCAAAAACCATACATAATCTGTACGGAAACTTTCAAAATACTTTACCTAGGAATAGTCAATAAGAGTTTAGCAAATGCCATCAGAATTAACTTAGACATTTGCCAAACTGTGTTAATACCAAAAGTTTTCTTATGAGAGTTTCCATTGCTGCTGTTGCAGCAGAGTCACCCAGAAACGAATTTTTTAATCGATGTCACATAATTAATCAGGCAATTGACTTTGATGATTCGAAAACAACAACAAAAGCATCAAAAGTTACTAACAGCAATGATATCAAGATCTTCTTCTTGTCGTTGACATGTAACAAGTTCAAAGGCACGTACTCTTACGTTACTGGAACTAGTTGTGCAGTCCTAATGGTGTGCTTGGAATGGATCGGTTTCCTCATATGGCTGATCCGAAATATCTTTATTCCAATTGACAATTGCAACTAAACACGTAAAAGCAAGCACATGGGTATAGAGCGCATCAACACTGCGTTCCACACAGAGTTTCATGACCAAACATTTTCCCAGAACTTTGTTTGCAAAGCACTAGCCCACCGAAGAGCACTACTGCGGCTACTGAAAATGAATATGATATATACAACTGTTACAATATTTTACTCTAAATATTTCCATATCATTAGAAAGGGCTTGAAATAAGTTTTTTTTATGCCCAGATGGCAGACATATAACGAAAATCAGACAATAAGGTTATGCATGAGACCGAAAACGGAAGTTCAGTTTTAAAACAAGCCTTGGCTAACAGATTAATAAACCTTGACGAGAATATGACGGTAGCCTAGGAATTTCTAGAGAAATGTTATTATGTGGACCTTTGTGCACACAACTTACGGTTGAATTGTTTTTGCCTTTTTGCACAGTCAAGCGTGATTGACGTCATCAAGTGCAATCTGTTGGCATGAAGATGAGAAGAACGTCAGTATTTTATCGCTATCATCATCCACGCTTATTCCCCCCCTTCCCTCTCCCAAGAAAAACTTTCCAGAATCGAGCCCAAAGTCAAATTCTTGGTTTGACCTTTCTTCGAACCAAAGTGCTACCCAAGAGCAGTCTTAACACTGGTTCGCATAAAAGTATATCATTACGAGGAGTATGAGGATGGCGAGAAATGAGCAATAAAATGTAGTTTTACATGAGTGATATCTTACTTGAGTACTGAAATCTGCTACGATCATTCCTTGCGTTCTGTCATCTCGTTCATCCCTTATGACGTTCTCTTGTTCATTTCCTGTGCGATTGGGAAAACGAAAGTGAGTTCACACGGCTACTTTGCGCAGCAAGGGAAGATGAGATCCCAAACAAAGCAATTCGCAATTACACAAGTTTAGAAACATTAGATACTAGGAGAGTGGGATGTGTGAGATAAAACAGTGAAAAGGTGTCTAAAATGAAAAGGATGTCTCACATGTTGTAATAACTTCGGCCAGTTTAGGTTTACTGCACTAATGGTGGTGCCATGAACGCGTACATCTATATAATTATACCTTTGTACAGCGCAACAGAAATTGTTACGAAAAACGATGGCATGTAAGAACCAGAAACTGCTAGATTTTTTTTTCAATAAAAATCCCTACGTTGCTTCGGTCATGCATTTCTTTCTAAGCAATGTGGATTTTGAGTCGATTTATTGCCGCGACTCAGGCGGCTTAAATGATTGTTTCGAGTTGATAACAAAACTACATATACTTAAGTAAGATCCTGGATAAGTTTTGCTTTGTAAATCATATTTCGCCATTAATTAATCTCATCATATTTTTATGCACTCGTAATTTAGATGTAAAAATTTCTGATTTTAACTTACCTTCGTGAAATTGTAATGGAAATAGCTGTTCCGCTAAATGTCGGCATCCAGTCTCACAAAGAGCCTCGATAAACTGGCGAAAGGAATTTCGTCTTCGAACCAGTCTATCTATCAGTTCTTGTGCAGCTCTCATGGAACCATGATTTGTCTCTTCACACTTTATCTTCTCTTTATCACTCTTTGTCAGGCAAGGTAGGTAAGGCAACATATCTACTGGAATAACATCCTCTACAAGTTGGGTGATATTTTCGCTGATAAGGTCTCTTTCCTCTCTATCCATTTCCAAAGATGATAAAAGATGGCTTTTCATTCGCTTGAATTGAGGGAAAAGCGGCTGAAGTCTGCGGAGGCAGACTTAAATATATTTTCCGGCGAATTCTCGATGAAATCACGGTGTTTTTCTCACGGTATTTTACCCACGGGAAGATTATGACGGCCCAGCCTAAGTCTGACGTATTCAAAAGTTTCGTTTTCAGTCGTTCGTGGCGGTCACCAGTTATTTTTGACAACTCACTCATAGGCATGATAGTACATAGAATGAACGTGCTCGTACATATCATTGCTATATATACCACAGAACTCTAAAAAAATACGTTTCCAGAATATGCCACAACACGCTCTAACTTCATCTTCTATATTTCTATCATTTTCATTCACAAGGGAAAACACCCTTGTCAGCAAAAAATTAAAGAAATATATATATTTATCGGTGGTGACGTTCACGTTGTAACCGAGTCCCAGATGACTAAATTTACTTTACTCGTTTGACGTTGAAATAAAAATAAATGCTAAACGTGATATTAATGATATTGCGTTGAACGTAACAGCAAGAGCAATAATAAAATTTGCGTGACAAAAGCCAACAAGAGACAGCCGTTTTATTACACAGGGAATATTTAATTGCTGTCGACGTGGCGCATTACTTGGTTTTTCCCTGTTTTTATGTTCGCAATCTTGAGCGCGCTTTTTCACTGTATTTAAGTCCTCTTCCTTTGGGACTTCGGCAAGAGAATATCATCTGATATTCTCTTGACTTCGGTAAGTCAACAATCTCGTTTACTGGAACCTCTAAGCCACGGATTGTTAAATTTGCGATTAGCATAATTTCATGGCCATAGTTATCTACCTGTGAATGTCACGCCATACACAATTCTGTTTGTAGTCAATCCGTGGTCAACGTTACTTGCCCTTCGAACGACATTGACTCAGCTTTGGGAGAAATTCACCTCATTCCAAACCACGGAGCGAAAATCTTGTTACAATTTTCCCCCATATCTTTCGGGGTAACACCATCTTGGGAGAAGACATTTGGACTTGGTTTCTTTCAGTCTTTTTACTCCCCTTATTACTTTTCTCTTTTTGGAATAAAAGCCGGCGCTTTAGATGCTTGTGCTTAAGAGTCTTATTGATAAGGTTGATGACTCTTGAAAGACCTGCATGAATAAACCACAAGGACACATTCTAACATTTTGTGATATGTTATGTCCAAAAGTAAATCTCTTAATTTGTATCAAAATTTTCAGCGAACCTGGTTATTATGTGCATAAAAAGTACTCTTTATTTCCGGTACAGAAATTCTAGAAAAAAAAAACTACGGGAATACGGTTGAGACTGGGTATTACTTTCTAGTTGTCACATGGTGCCTTACGCTGTACGGTCGATGTTAATTGGGAGAGGCTCTCGTTGTTAGTAATCAGTTGATCCATCCAAGATTGGAAGAAACCTTTCTGAACCAGTAACTTAAGCGAGGTGAGAGCTATTTATTATTCTTCGATTCAGTGAGCAAAATGCGCCCTACATTTAGCGTGGCGAAGTTTTCCAAAAGCATACATGGACGTGTCTCGCCTATGCAAATCGGAAAGTCTACTAGTCTTCCCATCATATACAATTCCTGAAAACACTTTCAAGGACGGCATCCATTCGCTGACCTTGGATCGAAACGATATTGCAATATATATTCGCATTGATCATCAAGTTGTTTTGAGTGTGGTTCAATTTGAAAAGTCGTGACCCTCTAGGGACGTATCTTTATGAAGAGGAGATAGCTTGATAAAAGGTTGCATGTTCTAATACATATATATTCCAAAAAGGATCTGTGTCGCTCAGTACAGAGAGTTTTCGATATCGATATCACAAATACATTTCTTTTTTTGTACTTTTTTTTTTGTTTGACACGTACTTTGACGCTACCTCTATGACCTAAAATATGCAACTTTTATCTCGGCTCAGCGCAAAATTCCAATTTCTTCCCACGGCCTTTTTATTCAGACTTTCAACCAAAATAGGATAGAAGTGCATGGAAATATAAAAAGTTGTTGTGGTTTCGGCGAACTTCTAGAATATTCGGCCGACAAATTGCGCGCATTTGCGAAAATTCGACATAGAAAGCACATGGAGCGGTCTTAAAAATAAACGAAATTTATACTGTCAACCTATGACTGCCACGTGATTTGAGTGCATAAAAGATTTTTATATGACTTTTGATATGATGAAACACCATTAAGTAAAGAAAAATCTTCATCATCAGCTAGAAAAACAGAGCTGCCGAAGGCTGACTCTCAGCTCTAGACAACCTATTGTTTTGTTTATCAGTCAATTTAAGAGAAAGGGGTAAAAACTTCAGAGGTCAGGATAGCAATGACAAGATTCAGGTTTGTTCTAAAGATTTCATGTTTTTCATTTAGAAACTGTTCATCTTAACAACATGTAATCTTTAGTCTAATAAAATTTCGCCACGAGAACTTCTTTATTGAAAGATCCCGGCTTTGTTTTAATAAATTATAAGTTCGCATAAAATCGTTGGAAATAAGATTAAATTAAATCTGCTAAGGAAAAACATGTACAATCAAGACAAGTAAATTTTATTTGTCGAGATTCATATTCAAATCAGTTTTTCATGAGATAAACACGCACAGAACCAGGGGCAAAAAAAGGAAAGGTTCTGCCTTCAGATAACATCAGCCGATATAATACTGACAACCCAAGAGAGACAGAAGGAGGAGGATACGGTTACACGTAGGCTAATCCTCAAAAGCCGTTCTTGTTGCTGAATCATTCTACAATCGTGAAATTGTCATTCATGTTATGATTGCGTAGTTATTTTCAAAAAGAAAATTCTGCGGAAGAGTCCTAAATTTACGTAGCACTTGCCAACGCGCAAGCCGCGCGGATCCTCGCGTCTGTTGACATTTTAATGAACGAGTTGCTAGTCATCGGATCTTTGTGTTTGCGTAAAGATTTCTGAAATCCCCACAGAGCCAACATTAGCCTGCATTGCAGGTGTCTTATTAGTGGGAGCTGACGTTATAGGCTCGCGATCGTTTATCCGACTGGCCATGTTTGATTTGCAGTTAGAGTAGACGGCGGGGTTAGGGGGCGAGTAAAGGGCGAAAAGACGAATCTTCACTCCTCACTCTCACGCCCACCCATCTCCTTATTTTGGACCGTCGACCGCCCCCTTGGTATAAATTTATTTCTCTTCCCAGCCTTCCGCTGCCATTAAAATCAAAGATGGCGGCCATAATTTTCGTCAGCGGAATTGCTGAGCACTCGCTCGCCAAAATTACGCCTGCTCTGCAGGCTAGGCAAACATTGCAACTCGCTAGAAAAAAAGATATGGCAAAAGGTTGTTTCGACGTCCAAAAAAAATAATTTTGTTGCGAAGTCATCGCTTTTTTGCCGCTGTTTTATCAGAAATGGGTGGGTAGTATTGATACAAGGGTAGCGCAAAGTTTTTTTTTTTGAACAACCGTGACGTATGTAGTGAAATCTAGCGATTAACTTTTCTCCATGCGCATGGCTTTAGTGAAACTGACATCGCATAATGATCTCGAACTTTAGAAATATTACTTTTAAATCACCAAGAAATAACTCAGTAAAAATTTTTCAGTTATATTTACTTGTGTTAAGTCTACACCTAGCTTTTTTATTGGCTTGGTAAAACAACAACAACGACAACAGCAACAAAAAACGCTACAACAGCTACCTCGAGGCAGCAGGAGTTTAAAGTTATGTGCTTGAGCATTAAATATTATCGTCATATATTAAGTGATTAAACTCATACATTGCCTCTCTGTTGTGATCGAGGAAAACGAATCAGCGTTGATAATAGGCGCAAAAGTGAACCCTTTCTTATGCGACGATGAGTAGGTACAAATGGGTCGCTTAAGGAGCGATGCACAACTGAATATATGCATATGTACGTCCATATTTCTGCCGGAATTCCCGTGATCTTGCCTTTCCTGACATGATCCTTCCAGGACTTCGGGAGATAGCTGGCCGCTCAAAAACCTTTGGATTCTTCTCGTCAAATCATCGCTTGACCTAAGGATTTCCTTTTATTTTTCATCGCTTATTTTATCCTTCCAAAGAGCAATAACTCTGTAAAGACAATTTCCATCTCCGCTGGCGACGACTTCTCTCCTTTGAGAAGGTATATTTTACAACATATTTCGTGGTAATGTTAATAAAAACTTATTCTTCCTTCGTATTAACATTATCTTAATCCATTCATGATAAAACTACGGCGAAAAAGCGTTGATCTCTCTCCACAATCGTTTTTTTGGACGTCAAAACAAACAACATTTCGTCATCAGATATTTCCTTCCAACAACTCGCGCAATGTTTGCCCCGTGGCGATCCCGAAAATCTTTGCACAAAAACAAGGATCTGATTACTGGTAACTCATTCATTGTTAACTTAAATTAACTTAAGCATCAAGTGTGAAAAAGGTCGAAATTTTATACGCACCGCCATGTTGGATAGTGTGACACAGTTTATCTTTGACTAAATATTCCGGCAGCTTCGTAGGTATTTAAAGGTTCATGAATTTCCATGAAAGGATTCTGCTTTGAATACAGGTACAATTCTGCAGAATGGCGCAGTTTTTCGCCTGGGCCGCACCGTCAAAAATTCCACTCAGAGGTTGCACTTTGCTCAAGCATCACATCAAATCGATTCTCTCCAGGTTGTGGTTCCACTGCACTTTAATGATAACGGTTACCATTGAAATTATCCATACCACACGCGGGAAGAAAGTGAAAGACATCAACGAACGTCATGCTTGGCTTTTATTGAATTTCACCGTTGACATTAAAAATGAGTGATCTTGATTCTAAGAATATTTTCACATTATCTTGCGTATGTCTTACCTTTTATGCTTAGTCAACTTTAATAGTTTCTGAAACTTGTGTATATATAAGTTATCGCCTACGTTATAAAATTTCTCAAGTTAATTTTTAGAGTGTTTCTGACCTTGTGTAATCTCAATTTCTTGAAAATCATCTCAAAGAGGCATGGGCGATTGGATAGAACTGTTGAGCTTGAAAGCCTGGCCGGAAAAGGGTGTAACAAAAGAAATGATGAACGTTCTTCCTAAATTGCCGGCCCGGAAGGAGGATATCTTTATTGCATCATATCCAAGATCAGGTTCGTATCACTGACAGGGTTCTTTTCTCTTAAAAAGTGAAAATCAGTGTAATGCAATACAGGATTTGTTCTGATGTCTTCAGGAAACTGAGCGGGGGACGTAATTTTGCTAATGATCGGTATTCACTAGGTTCGTTGTCCTCACTGTAAATACAGTGGGTTTGTAAAGGCAGCAAGACATGACGACAATAACAACAACAAGAACAAAGAGCACGAGAATGACATTGTAAAAACGCTTGGTTTGAGTTGATATAAGAATAGGAAGTGATCATTGTGAACGGAAAGTGTTCCGGTGAGCATAAAGTAAGCCGAGAGAAGATCCCTAGACCACGGTCGACTCGACCCCGTTTTTTTTTTCTCGTTCACCATTTTATTTTGTCCCTTATCCCCAAAAGACAGGTTTTTTTTTATAGGATCGTAGGGTAAAAAGCACAAGGACGATAGAACAACATTAAGAACAAATGAAAGCAACAACCACAACAAGTGTAACGACAGGCATACATAAACCAACTTTTGAGATCATTTGAGCAAGCCGACCTACTCGTGTCGGTTTAGCTTGCTGTAAGTTATTGTGTTCAGAAGACTTTTTCATTGATACTTTTGAATTTACTTGAATAATTTCCAAACAAACGTTTAAACACTGACTCTGAATCTCAGACAAGAAATTTTAATACTAATCACTCGCTTCATTGAAACGAAGATGTAAACAACCCTCCTGGAATGCACACTTTCGTTCCGAAAGTAGGAGGTGCTGGCTCCATGAAAATTCCTTGAAATCGTGCAGGTTTCTGTTGTCATTTACTACAGGTTCCACTTGGACCCAGGAAATTGTATGGCAGATTCTTCGAGATGGTAAAATCGACCGGCGTCGATTGGATGAACGAGTGCCTTTTGTAGAAGAGATTATTCTGGACGTCAAATCATATCACTCCTCTGTGATGGATGCCAAGTCCGCCGAGAAAGTGTTTACCAGCTTCCCTGAGCCTCGTGTATTCAAAACTCACATTCCTAATTGCTTGGTCCCTAAGGGCTCTGATGAAGCTAACAAGCCTCGATACATATATGTAGTGCGGAATCCCAAAGATGTGTTTGTGTCCCTGTATCATCACAGCCGCAACATGCCGTATGTAGCGGAAATTCCCACCTGGGATGAGGCCTTCCAAAGTTTTCTAAAAGGAGATCGTAAGTATAGCACTTTTTTCGCTGAACATGAAATTGGCTTAATGTTTGTGGCAAAAGACGTCGCATAAACACATTACTAACACAGTACATCTTCATTCGCCTCCTCGGAAAAAAAAATGGTATTTCTAACATCGATGAATGGGAATTGATTTTCATGCAAATCAATAACCATCATATGGTATGAATGGACTTCGCCCAATCCCATGTAAGAATACGATAAGGAGATGGAATAGAAAGGCACATTACGACTGCCAAGGTTGACCAGTCTTGAGGCATCCATGCCAAGTTTGGCGATATGCAGAGTGCATTCCCTTTCAGTGGCGCAAAACCAGAACCAAAGCAATGGCAACAAATCTTCAAAACAACGATAAAATTTCAAAGGAGCTAGTGAGAATTCGGAATAAATTATAAAAAGTGACCGACCCAAGTCAGGGATACTAGCGCAAGTAAGGCGATTGGCTTGAACCTCGATGGCTGATTGAGAGCCTGCCGCGGATTATTACGACCGATCACCGAGTATAGTTTAAATGGTCCGATGAAATCCCGGTAACTTTTGATCTTCCACTAGAAAAGGCTTCCACGTCGTTAAAGAAACAAAATGAGTCGAAGAATCCCAATACACTCCCAACTGTACGTCCATCATCTTACAAAACTCAAAACAAATCAAGTTTAGCGATTGAAAACGTCTTAAAGAACACTTGGACGACGAAAATATAGATAAAAACTTGTGTGTTCTAATAAATGGCTTTTCCTTGTCACCCTCTATCGTGCAGATGCATATGGCTCGCTATTTGATCACGTGTTAAGCTGGTGGAAGCAAAGGGACGATCCCAACATTTTTTTCCTTACATACGAGGACATAATAAAGGTAAGAAAATATGTCAAACCATTTAAGGACGATTTTCTTACCTTCTGCATGTCAGGTTTTTAAACTTTGGTACGGCGATTATCAGCCTTCTGCATGGCTTGTCAAGTAAACTCGTCAGTCGTTAAAAAGGATAGTTGTGGTACAAAGTTGATACCAAAAATATAATGAGAGTGTAGAATACCGTAAGATGGAAAATTTTGCGAGATTTCAAAATAGCTTGAAGGTGTGACAATCCTGAATGATTTTAATGCCAGAAAAAAGTCGGTTTGTCATCATGCAACTTTTTCCTTACGTTTCTTTAATTTTTTGTGTCAAAAGTTATTGCAAAGTTTTCACTTAAAAGTTATGACGTTCTATTCATTTAGAATCCAGCAGCTGCTGTTGACAAGATAGCAAAGTTCATTGGCAAAAAGATCTCTCCTGAAACACGTGACCTCATCGTCCGACAAACGTCCTTTGACGCTATGAAGAGCTCCAGTCACACCAACTTTACTTGGTTTGAAGGAATCAAGGGGGATGGCTTTATTAGAAAGGGTCAAGTAGGAGGATGGAAAGATTACTTCACTGAAGAACAAAATGAGTTGTTTGATAAGGTTTTCAGTGAAAAAGTTGGAGATGGTGAGACTGCAGCTAAATTAAGGGAACTGCTGTCACTGTAGTAGCCCGGTAATGAAACAGAAAGCATTTCGTAATAACAAACGCGAAGAACAAGACTTAATCTTAACTTGAAGAATAACTTAAGCTAGCAATTTGATTGTAAGTTTAAGGATGAAGTTTACGACAAAGTAAACGGCTTAACTGAACTTACATGTCATTGAGTTATCTTAATTAATCCTAAATCAACACTATCATAATAAAAAGAGACACTTGAAGTTCATACCTAGACTGGTGTGAAAGGAATGCGAATACATATTTGCTGTTGCGTCTCAGAGACAATTCACTTAAATTCACTCCAACCTTGTTCAAGATGACGAATTCGAAACCATAACCAGCCCAGGTAGGTTATTTTTCAAGGTATACAAAAATGTTCATATTGTTAGAAGAAAATTCAGGTTTCTCTAATACACTTAAGTCAGCCACTTTTTTCATTCCTTAAGTACTTTCTACAACTGAAAACTAGCTCTGATCTAATGGAAAATTCTGGTCATCAGCTTATAAGGTGACAATTACCATGCTGTCAATCTTTGACCATCGTCATCATGTCACACTTGACCAACGAATCACATTAAGTACATACAGCTTATCTTGCAAACTAAGCATTTTCCTTCGAAATATTTACCCTTAAAAGACTGACTTCCTACCTTAATAAATTTTCATACCTTCCCAGTTAAGATCTGGTAAAACAAAATCAAGATAAACAATATAAAAATTTTAATATTTTTCCTGAATGGCTTACAATCCGAACACCTAAATGAGCTAAAATTGCATATACACAAAGTTCTTGCTTGCTATGCTAATTTTGTCTTTCCGCAACACTCATCCTGTAAGGTGTACAAAGTGATAGTGTAGCCTTTTTCTCCCTTAACATATTGAGCGCAGTGCTGAGGTGCCCTTGATGTTTTCCAGACGAGGGGTTTTTTGTTATCGTTACATTCAATCTGGGTCTTTAAAATAGACTTTACCGTCTTCTAAGCAAACTTGTCACTAACATTATTATTAGAACGTTGAATGTAAAATACAATTTGCCTTGTATACGGCCTATTTTTCGTTTATTCGAAAGTTTTGTGATATTTTATGCAAAAGTAATTTGTAGACCATAAATGCATTTAAGATATTGAATTTTCCCTGCAATTACCTAAACGGTTCGTCGGTAACGCGTGATACTAGGAAATGCAACCTTACAGAAATTTACTCCCTCTTCATAATGACGACCCGTGGGCATTACGATTTCACATCTCAAAATAGACCAGAATAAAACAGCAATCCTCAACGATACATCACAAAGATTATTCAAGGTGGAATGCTCTATGATTGATGGAACAAGTTGTTTGATTATCAGAATGATCTCTGGTGTGAAAAATCATAGCATAACTAGGTATTAAGGTTTTAAGCTTTGAAAAAATCGAAACACATAGAACCTACTTAGAGACTCGAATTCAATGGCGACAGCTGCGTAATGTCATTCGATGACAATTGGAGTCCTGAACATGTGAATATTCATTCGTCAATAGGTGTTCCTAGGGATTTAAGTTAGGGAATCGAGAAGTGGATCTTTTAAGCGAAAGTGTCTTTTTATTTTGAAAGAGTTAAAGCCGGACATTCCTCAAGTCAAGATTGTGGTGTTGATTGCTAATAGGCCTGGATGTTCTTCCAAAATTGCCGGCCCGAAAGGAGGATATCTTTATTGCGTCATATCCAAGATCAGGTTCGTTTACAAGTGACAGGGGTCTTTTCTCTAAAATTTGAAACTCATTATAAATCAATACATAATTTGTTTTGATGTCTTCAGTCAACTGGGCAGGGGATATAATTATGTTAAAGGTTTGTACTTATTTGGTTCCTCTTAGTCATTATGACTACTCAGAGAAGTCCTAGCACATGCATACGGCAACGATAGTAACAACGAAGGGCACGATAATGACATTGCGAAACGTTTGGGTTTAGTGAAAGGAATTCCAGTTTGATTTGTGATGGAACAAGCCGTGAGAAAATACCTAGATCGTAGTTGGCTTGACCCCATTTCCCAAAGTTTTGTTTCTCGTTCGCCATTTCGTTTTATCCCTTACGTCCATAAGACAGTTTCTTTTTACAAGATTGCAGAGTAACAAGAACGACTATGACACAAGCAACACTAAAAATGACTGAAAGTAACAACCAGAACAATTGTAACGAGAGGAATACATGGCCATTGCGCAGGCCAACCTTCAGTTGTTTACAGGGCTTTTGTATGATACTTTTAAATTAAGTTAAATGATTCCCCACAAACGATTAAGCACTGACTCTCCAAGGTGCGGAAAATAAACTCTGCTAATTATTAGCTTCTCATCAGTAGCAATGATTTATTTTTGTGTAATGCTTCATTCGTTTAATAAAGATTGAAATAACGTCTCTGCCGCGATCCACACTTCTCCTTGCAAACGGTAGAATTGTAACCTTTTCTGAGACAAAGCAGGTTTCTATTGTCATTTTTCGCAGGCTCCACTTGGACTGAGGAAATTGTGTGACAGATTCTTCATGAATGTAAAAAGACGAGTGTCGATTGGATGAATGAATGCCTTTTGCAGAAGGGATTATTTTGGGCATTAAATCTTATCCTTATACTGTAACAGACGCTGAGTCAACCAAGAAAATGTTTACCAGCTTCCCTGGGCCTCGTGTATTCAAAACTCATCTTCCTTATTGCTTGGTCCCAAAATCTGAGTCATCTTCCAATAAAACACAAAGTTCTGGCTGTGGATCATGTCGCCATCTCAGAGGGACATAACCTCTGTGTGAGGTGGTGGGGCATGTTTTTAACTCTCAAAAAAAATTTAATTAATCCTCATCTTTACTTGGTTCTCCCTTTTCAATTCTGTTTGCCAAGTCTTTTACAAGAGACTCTAAGGAATCATTCTCTGTCAACCTTTTGACTGATTCACCCTCTTCAGCCAAGATATCTTCAATATTTCTGTAAAATATCATTCAAAAGGCTTAAAGTAATGATTTAATAACATGTACCATTCAAGCTTGACTTCAGCTGTGATTGCACATGTATCTTACATATGTGGGTAGGCATTATATGAACTCACTCATATGGGGATTTTCACTATTACTTTCAGAAGGAAGTTAATGACTGAAATTAAACTTAAACTAACTTTCTATGTGTACAAAACACTGAGACAATGTGAAGGTGGTTTCTGAATAAGAAAAAGTTGATTTATGATCAACTCACATGGTATGAACATGTACAGTGTATGCCGTTTCGAATACGCTGTGCATTATCACTGAGGATTAACATACTCTGACTTTGGAGGAATTGTCTCATCCATAACAGACACACTGTCCTTTTTGGCAAAATGATTGGATACCAACAAAACAGAGGCAGTACACAGTGTGTATGGGCAGTGTGGAACCAGTGGGAGGTGGGGGGCAGCGTTACTGTTACTTTCTACTAATAAGCTAATAAAAATGTGCCAAAGGATGGGGTCACATTTTCACGACTGGATTGATTACCACAGGTTAAACATTTTAGGGATAAGAAAATTCCAGTTAGTAGAGATTAAAAAATTGGAGGATTACAATCAAGAGGTTCAGTGACTGGCCAAAGAATATAATATAATGGGGAAGGGGTTCTTAAAGAACAGTAGCACATACCCAGCATAGCGTAAACCAAGTTCTCCGTCCCGGGGCCTGGAATCACTTAAACGTTTCCACAGCTGTACTCCTTGAACCGTTTTTCCTGAAAAAATTTATCGAAAGTCGTAAAAATTAACCCCCTACTAAGTTGGATTAAATGTGAAATTGCGGAAATGCATCTTGGGGGAATTAGGATTTTCACCTAAGAATGCACTGTTTATGTCAAAGCGTTTAGTTCTCTATCTCGAGCTCTATCGAGCTCAAAGCAGTAAATTTACCTGTTATCGTCATAAAACCACCCCAAGTTGTCGGCTATAAGATGATTTTTGTTACATCCAGGACATTTGACAATAACTACTCCTTTAGAATAGGCCTGTTTACTGACGAGCTTCTGTGATCGTGTTTCACACACGTTGCACGTGAATACCAGATGAAACTTATCACTCTGAGTAATCGACCCCAGCGGTTTACAACCGCTATTCGTCGCTTTACTGCAAGCTACGCCATAAGCAATAAGTTCTCGTAGATGAAACTGTAATTAAGGAAGTTCTGAAACTAAAAGGTCTTCTTATCAAATTATTCCACGACACTTGTCTGAAAAAGCGATGCAATCTTGCAATCTGTGTGTTCATACACCGAGCACGTTTTGAAACTCACTGACATCCGCTGGTATGAATGAGTGCGGGCTCGTGTCTCATCGGATATGGTGGAGTGGTCTGGTGGACATGGCGGTGTGGAGGAGAGGTACATTCCGCCTGCCCCCATTTAATGTACTAGATCATCACAACAGATCAAAGACGTGGAGGTCATTTGTCAACGATGCGCAAGTCAAGCTCAAACGTCAGATGATAGAAAGTTACGCTCGATGTCGATGTGGTTTATCAATGTTGCCAACCCCGCATCAGGTTTCAAGTTTTTTTAAGAAACTAGATGCGTCTTCAGCTATTTTAAATTACTGAGCTGTTTGAACCCAAACATGGCAGTCAGTGATCTTTTTTATTTCTAGTGATGGATTATATTTTTCTGATTGCCATTGTTTGTACACAGTGAAGCAAAGTTACTTTACTTGACAGTAAATGTTTACACACTGTATATACTTGTGTTGTTATTCAGCTTTCTCTTCTCAATAAATGACTACTTGATTGGGTTTAATTTCCAGGCAATGGCGAGTCACACTGAACGTTGATTTATGGTGGATTGTTTTTTTTTGTTTTTGCACAGGTTGTTGGTTTGGGTTATCTCTCCCATCCTGAAACCCGCTATAGTGTCGGAATGCTTGTACCCTTGCCAAGTATCTGGGAACCTATGGGCATTTCAACAGGCAATATTTGGGTTACGTAGCAGTGACAAAAGTTGATCACCAAGAACTTATACTGTTGAAACCCTCTGTTGCAGGTACCCTGGCTGTTAGATTATTCTCTAACTTATGACACAAATTTTGTGGTATTTTGAACATTGGTACCGGTGTGTAGAGGTTTACACTTATACATGATATCGCGAGCGCCAGTATGCATATTCTCCACACTGTTCTCCATAGATTTCTAAAGGTACTGGGTAGGAGAATTTGTTTAACAACCAAGAGCTTCTTTTGTTGATGATCATTTTCATTTATTCTGGTAACTTAAATGTGTGCATCAGCATCAAGTTTTTTCCTGCAATATCACCCCTAATCACTCTTTGGGTCAAGGGGTGAAACCTCTTCTATGAGATAAGTGAGAAAAGGAGAAAACTATACTATGCCAAGATGAGTTTTTGAAAAGGTGCGAAGAGTTTGGCCCACACACAGGTCATGCTGATGGAATGACAGAAGTTGAATGCAAATACATCACTTTACTTTCCCCTTTTCACAGTAATCCTCATGAAAGAACTGTAATATGTGGACAATTAGTCAGCTAAAATTGTAAACCTGATGAATTTACTTGAAAAAACTGTAATTCATGTTACTGTTCCTTTCTTATTCAGTCACAATGTATAAAGTGAACCCATCTGATGTTATTCTTGTTCATGATGACCTTGACAGACCTTTAGGGAAGTACAGTTTTAAACATGGAGGAAGTGCTGGGTGAGCCATGTTATACCAAGCACTACATGTACTTACAGCACTAATACACCTGCTTTTGTAGAGTATAAGGCTGTCTATTGAACCAGCCTGCTTAGTCAGCTGCTATAGTTTTATGTAATATCATGGTGTCTATAGCATGAAGCTGGCAGTAAAAGTTGGTAATCCTTAGTTAACCCTGAGTAACATTTTGACAATTTGACTCTACTTATGTGTACAGATAGTTTAAAAGTTTTTGTATTTTAAATTTTTTCAAATCAGTGCAATTTTTATTTCCCCTGGTTCAGATTTACTGGTAATGAAAATGAGACAATGTTAACCAAAAATCAACTGGTTTGAGAATGACAATTTAACCTCAGCACAACCATGAGAGGCACAGCGAGAGAGCCTCTGTCCTAAAAAGAACCTGTCATCAGGTCCAGGACAAAAACTGAGAGAGAGCTAGGTGTAAGGCCATTGCTTCTCCCACAACATGTGCTATGTGAATATGAAATTATACTTCAAGCTCTAATTGTTATTTCTAACAATGTAAAATGCTAAATGAAGATTTAGTTCTGTTCATCTGTATGCTGAAATTTCAATTAACATGTATGTAACATTTTTTGCAGGGGTCACAACAGAGTAAAATCAGCAATTGCATCTCTTCACTCTGATGTGAGTTCCTGTATTTTTCTTTTATGCTTTATTGTGATTGTAGACTTTGGAAGAAGGGAAGAGGATGAAATCTCAGCTATCAAAAAATAACTTTTTCTCTCATCATAATCAGACATCAGTGATCAGAGAATTCCCTGGATACTACATAAAATTCTCCACTTAAATTTCAGTGGCCCAGCCTATTTTTTTTATTTAGATATGCAGACATTCAGGCATGCTATTGCATTTCTTAATGACAACCCCTTATTACACCCTTTGCATGACTGACTTTTAGGCAGCGGTCTACCTGTGGCATATTTCAAGAGATGATTCATGTTATGTCTTATTCGATGTGTATTTGATTATTTTTTTTAGAGCCTGAGGAGAGTTCGTGTAGGGGTAGGAAGACCAAGCAAGAGAGATAATGTGACAGAATATGTCTTGAGCAATTTTGATCCGTCAGAGAGGCTTGTCATGGAAAGAACAATAGGACAATGCTGTGAGGTTCTCATGAAGGAGCTTCAGTTATTAAGATCTTAGGAAAGTGTCCACTTTAGTGGAGTGCATAACATAATTCTGTAGTATTTATTTAGTTGCCTCCTAAAATTCAATCATTATTAATAGCATCTTTGACAAAGTTTATTTCAGCCTTGAAATTTCAACATAAATTTACACTCATTTTCTTATTTACCTCAAATATGTCCTGTTTAACCATTACCATCTCATGACTTTGCTAAGTTTACATGCCTCTCAAGAAAATGAAAAAAAAAGGTACTTAATTTGATAGTAGCCACCCGTATTAGCAGTTATGAACATGAAATGTGCATGAGTAATTGCACTATAACTTTGGTTTATCATGCCGAAAGTGTTCGTGGCCGTGCACATTTACATGCGCTTGAGAGAAGTATCTCAATTTACCTCCCTTACGTTAAAATTACATTAATATACCATTAAGTTGATGTAACTTTACTGATAGACAAACCTGTGTTAAGCGGTCAGCCACGGGGGATGGGGCTTAATAGAGGTTCCACAGATTAGAAATGTAATAATCATAAATATTAATTTTATGTAATTTCTAAACTGTGCCTGTTCTGTGCATTAAACAGGGCAAATCACCGACTTTGAAGAGCATTTTGAGCGGAATTCTGCAGTATAATTTAGTTTTATCACCGGACTTTTTAGTGTAAATTGGCCATTAGAAACAACTTTACTGTGACTAATCAACATTATCAACTCAGTTGATAAAACCAAATTATGTCGTTATACTCCCCCTCCAACGCAGCACTACAATTTCTATAGAAACTTAAGCTCTCTATGAGCGCTACATTAGTCTGTACAGCTGGCGTTATTTCCCCTGTTTTTTACGCGAATTCAGACAAGCACGAGGAAAGAGAAAGGAGGGCGTAACACTTGTCGCTTCCATGAATCTTCCCGAAAGACTCCGTCTATCGGGGCTTGATTAATGTAAAGAACTGCTCGTAATTTGTTCAGTTTATATTTGGAAGAACTTAGGCAGGCTTGGTTTAGGTTACAGTGGGCGGAAAAGCGATTCAGCCTGGATTGGGTATGATCAGACTGATGGATTATTGAGAAGAGGGCTAACCGTGTTTTGGAATTAAATCTCATTTGTTTGTGCATACATACCAATTTACAGAGGTCAGTAAACTGATTGACTTCAGAAAAGTTCAAGCGGCTCACTTGCTGACGTGAGAAAACATTTTTGATTTCAAAAAGGAAGATACATTTCTCCCACAAGACTGAAAGTCTTAAGCCTGTCTAGCGGGCCTGATACATGTGTGCGATGACATATTTTACTTTACAAAACTAACGCGAAAAACGATTCGGCTGAGACCCAAAGAAATAAAGGTACATAACGACATGTCGTGACATGGCATAGAAGGGGACTTATTTATGAATATTCAGATTCACCCACGTGACATTTAAAAGCATGGGGTTTTATATTTACGTCATATATTTTAAATCGTCATCACGATTCTGTTGCTGGGGGGAAAGGAAACACCGCGTTAGACTTTAAACGGCTCATTTAACTGAGATATTTTCAGTCTTCTGGGCAAGTCTCTAGAGTCATTTCTAGACGAAGAGGAACGAAGTTGTTCACGAGGTATGGCGTCTCCTTGTTGTGGGTTCATAAGACTACTACGATCTCCGCACAGATCGTGTTCTCAGTCCTCTCAAAACCAGCTCGGAAAAAGGACATATCACCAACTGACCGCCGAAAAGATCTCAGGTGGGTTAATAGGAAGCTTAACAAAATTCTAAGTTTATCGAAAGGAAAATGGAGTGAGTTGAAGAATTTCAGAGCTGTTAGTAATGTCGTTATCAAATAAGTTAAATATAGCTGAATATTCATGCAGTATCCAAACTTGCTTTGGTCAGTTTCCCCTTAAATTTGGTTTCTCTCGAACTAATGATTTTGATTTGATTTTAATCAAACAAAGCAACCATTTTTTGGCGGTGTTAGTTTTGTATTTGTGTAAACGAGCGGATTTGTTTTATAACTACTAAACGAGTTGCGGGAAATGCTGCAATAGGTTTTTGCCTTTCGTATTTTTGGCGCGAAAATGATTGATAGACAGGTGTCAAATGGTAATTTTGTTTTAATACAACAAATCGTCATTGAGTTATCATGTCATGGCATGATGACCACAGAATAAATTAGGCGGCTGTAAATTGGGATCTTTTCGGCGACGGAGCTGGGGAAGATTGGAGACGAAGAATCTTCCGGATTCTTCGCTAGCATCTCCGCTTCTAATTTCCGCCCCTGTGCCGCGAAATCATCAGATACGCTGAAAATTTATGCTTAAAAGGTTCACAAAATGCTCTTGAATAACAATGTCATCCATGTACATACGCCGTTACACGTATGGCAAAGGAATATTTAAATTGCATTGTAGCTAAGATCTCTCTACTATTGTTTTCCGTTTGCGCTTTTGTGAAATTAAAAGTAGGTTGTATAAAACAACCAGTTTGAAAAAAGTTCGAAAATAGAGGAAAATACGAGTAGTTCAAGGAGCAAAGCTAACCAAACTAAATACATATCAAATGAGAAGACGTTCGGTTTTCAGCGCAGTTAACTGTGAGTCAGACCGAGTCGCTCTTAATTTAAGTTTCTATCATGCTAAACTGTTGAGTTCCGATCGAGTATGAGCTGCTAGTTTTCCAGACCCATCGCAAAGCGTACAGTGGAAGTGAAGCAAAACCATAACAATGCTGTATTTCTTTCGGACCTCAAATGAGAATTTCCCTTACGGTATCGATAAATTTGTGCGTTCCTCAAGGTACTCTGGTTATGATTCTGTCAACTATAGTATGCTACAATATACTATCAGACAAGATTATCTATTTAGCAACACTTACACAAAATTCTTACGATCTATTCGATGCGATGGAATAAGGCATTAAAATCTGAGATTTTCGCAATGGAATTTTTTAAAGTGACATGAAAAATATCAGTAATAGAAGACGTGATCAAAGTTGTCAACAGTCTTAGGAGAAAGATTTTATAAAACTACATAAGTCAAAATGCATTTTAAGTATGAAATCTGTCGCAAAACGAGTATCCGAGAAAAAAAGGAAATCCAGTCAGCCAATGACTTACACCTTTTAGAGTACCTAAGCTATTTGCAATTTGTTGTAAACTTTGATTATTACGAGTTCATTTGAGTGAGGCTCGGCGCGTACGGAAGTAAAGTCGTGTTTCCACTGACAACATGTCGTTTGACCTCTCTTCACGTTTGACAGTTGGCGACGCACGTCTCTTGTATTTGAAATTCAGTTTAACTTGGAAACAGAGAAGACTCCCGTAACTTTACGGTCAAAATCCGGTCACCAAACGTTTTCAGCGCCCTACGCTACGAATAATTGAAGTATCACCTCCAGTCGTGTGACGAAGAGTTCCATCGATGCGAATCTTAAATCTGCGAGACCACCAACTTCTGGTGCTGCCGAATGATGTCCTCAATAAGTTAATTTTTCAAAGCTAAATCTTAACAACCAAAAGGATTTCATTAAATGACAAATTCATATTCTGCTATTGCCAAGCCCTTTCTATCATGTTGTCCAAAAGTATTTGCATGTTTCAAGGGACCAAAATACACTAATGATGACACAAAAGCCGCGATCAACAAAACTGAAAGTGCATACAAAGCAGATTATAACATCACGTTAGAACATTAAAACCTCACACACAGCCTTGCCATACCCCTGTTGGGTCGCTGTTTGGGCCGTAATTTCACAAGGTATGATCCAACGTAATTTTACTGGGTAGCAGTAAACTAACTGAATCGAATGTAATTTTACTAGGTATGATCGAATATAATTTTACTAGGTATGATCGAATGTAATTTTACTAGGTATGATCGAATGTAATTTTACTAGGTATAATAGAATGTAATTTTACTAGGTATGATCGAGCTCCCGTTCTGATCACGTGGCTCGTAAAGTAAGCATTGACTAGGACGAACTCTGATGCCCCTGTGAAGGTTTTTGGAGACAACGCACTATCAGGCGAAAATGTCATCGTGTCTTTTTGGAATCAGAAGTTTTCTAAGATCATTGTGTGCATGGCGTTGTGACCAGGATTCCGATAACTACTCGGCTCCGTCGAAGCTATCAGAGAAAATCACAAGTGAAAAGCATGACAAGTGAAATATTACGCATTATCTATGAACAAGAACTCAAGGGTATCATAGGAAGTTGTTTTTTACGGTATTGCAATTTAGAAAAAAAATTGGATAAAATAAGTTTAGGAAAGAGAGGGAATGAGTGAAAGAAGGAATAGAAGAAGTAGATCGCGCTCGAGAGAAAATTTCGCCTAATGAAAGCTGAAATTCAAGTCAGTCAGATATCATGCAAGGAAACATGAATATTTGTCAGTTGTTGACTATGTTCGTAAAAGAGCGAACGAACACAACGCTTCACATTATTTACGCATATCACAAAGTCCAAACCATTAGCAGATACGTTATGCAAGTTTTTTTACCGTTGGTTTTGTAGCAAAAATATTCTCTAGGTTTTGATTTGAGATGGCATGAAAAAAGCTGACTATAGAAAATTTGTAAGACATGCGACATCGTTCTGGCGTGGGCAGGAATGTTTGAGACACACGCGAGGAGGAAATTATGGGATAAATTCTCGCGAGGGCGGGAATGGTTACCTTTTTTTCAGCTGGCCCTGAAAATTAGATTACGATACAACGCAAATAAACTGCGTGATTCAGAATCTAAGATGGCAATATCTCCTGCACGCGCTATTTATACGTGCCCACATAAATGTTAACCCTTTAAAACTTTCGAATAATGAAAAACCAAACTGAAAAAGGAACCAAAACGATGTAATAAATAAGGAGAAACCTGAACTCCAGCTGAAAGCTCATACTATAAAGACTGCTTGCAGTAAAGGAAAATCCAGAATTTGACATTTTATCATGCTCATAGTCCAGTCTTTTTAACTAATCATTGAGAAGTGTGGCGTACATTACATTGTAGATGGATATGAAAAAAATCTGACAAATACAATTTATGATGCATGTTGAAAATATCGTCGGACAGAAAAATTATTGAACGATGTACTCAGCGAACCGAATCGAAACTAACGAACGCACGAACGAGGAGACGGGAGAGGCAGGGAAATGAAAAGTTCGCGAAAATTTGATCCGCAGCCGGAGTGAGTGATCACGCAATTAACCCCTAACTGCCCATACGCTGACGTTGTCGCGTATGAAATTTTTTTAATTAACAAATTGAGAAGCCTTGACTGTGCTCTGTTCTGTTGTAAAGCACGCAGGAAGCGGCTAGAGCACGAAAGAAGTGTAGGGGGAAACACGAGACGTAGTCGAGTGTTTCTCCCGACTTCTTCATCATTCCTGTTTTTTTCTGTTTGAAATCGAAACTTTATATTATTATACAAGTGTTAGCTGTGTTTGATTTTTATTACCGTACGTAAACTCGCAATCTAACTGAGCGTGAAAACCGTTAAAAAAACTAGGACTGTCTATCTTGTTTTATCTTTGAGGATTTTTGTCTGTGCTCACGTTACAGTAACGTAAATTACTGCGCCTGGCATTTTTGCAAACCTTTGCTCGCTTGTTCCGAAATTTTTCTTTCAATTAGCGAAAGAAAAGCTAGAAAGAAGTCTCGGAAAAGGTCGGACATAGTACGATTTGGCAGATGGCGTGACAGCTTTAGCTCAGTTCTATGCTCTATACTC